TCACGCCCTTAAGGGATAATTTCCGGGTTAAAAACTACTCTATGTCCTTTCTAGGGTCTCAAACTATCTTCATACCAAATTTCATCTAAATCGGTTCAGCGGATTTTTAGCATATATTTATTAGTGTAGATTGATCACTTTTGATATACCTAATAATGTATTCCTTCTATGTTATTCGTCTAATTAAAATCGCTTTAAAAATATTATAAACTATGGGATGGCGTCATGAAATAGGTTATAGAGTTTACTAACAATAAGAAAATGATGAACTATTATTTAAATAGTACATCAATTTTGTCTCACGCAGAATTCGAACCACGAACCCTCGACATAATAAGCATGTTGATGTGTCGTCAAATTGTGGACGGTAGTCAAATAATAATTCGTTGGAATAATTCTAAGTTGACTAGAATACCTTATACAGAGGTTCATTGTGCTTGATGTAGTGGATAACGAATACAAATAATCTCTTATCGGAAATATGCATCTTGCCATCAACTCTACAGTAGGTACTATTATCTACGTATAACCTACTTATACAAATACGAAGTCCATGGCCATGTTTAAATATACTTGAACAATTCAATATTTTTCTAAAACCATAATAGTATTGTATATTTAAATTATTTTTTACTCGCGGTGCACTTGGCTTGTTGTTCGTTTATTATTTGAAAATACACTACAAAAATAAAATAAACTCTACAAAAAAGGATATAAACGACAAAACAAGCTTGATAATTTAAACTCAGAATGTCTGCAAAATTAGTTAGGTAATATTTTATTAGAGTAGCATTTTACGAAGGTTCAGTAATTAGGTCACCTCGCTTAACTAGGATGGCTAAAAATTTAAAACAACGGCTGTCTCGGCAGATATGAACATCCGCAGTGTGCATATTTCCATTTAATATTACATACATAATACATATGAAAATTGACTGTTTGAATTGCCTGATGTATTTGAAAAACTGTGGTATTATGATACCTTGAACCCGAAGGTATGAGGAAGGCTACTTTTAATAAGACATTTAATATTTCCATATAAAAAATTGTGTTTAAATTCTTACAAGCACAGAATTTGAACATTTTAAGAGTTTATCAGGGATTTTCTTATTGACATAGACCGCAGGCGAAGCCGGATCGGTTCGCTAGTAAAAAATGACATTTTAAATTGAACATTGAAATATTTATTATTACTAAAGCTTTTTAAAGTTAATAGTAAAAAACTTGTTTGCGTAAAATAAAATTGAATATCAAAACACGTAAAACTTCAATGAAACCGCCATGTAGCAAGACGACTCCATCTTGGATACGGAAACTGCACAGCAAATAAAATTACCATTGAAATGTTTTGCGCAACAATATTATAACTTGGTAATAAAAACTCGAAATAAACATTCAATGACTAACAAACATTCGATACCTATCTTTACGTTCCCTGACGTGATGCATCATCGCGGAGAATAGATCTTAGTGGTGCCAAATATCGGCGATGAGTAACTGCCCCTGGGCTAATGAGTCAAGTAGATAGGATTAATTAGTGGTACTGACCCTTCCGAGACGTAACTCGATAGCATTTACTGCTAGCGGTTATAAGAACGTAATATCGACCTGAAGGTTAGAAATTACGTCATTTGTCCAGACCAGACAGTTCAAATCCTCTTTGGACATTTGGTTTTTTATTACTATATTTTTTTATAGTTTTGTCACTCAATAAGCCACTATTATAAGCACATAGGAAGTATCAAGTATACTCGTATAACATGATATTAATATGTTAACAATGAATCCATTTTATTATCAGCCAAGGGCGTTTCGGCGTCTACAATAGTTTGGCCCATTAATAGTTTAAAGACACGCGTTATACGATAACTAACTATAACAGAGGAGCGAGTGCGACGACCCCCTCGTCCGCAATTGATTAGATATATGCAACTTTTATTACCCACATCTTCATAATACATTGTCATTGACAACACATTAATCTGTTTATCGGTAGCTATATTTGTGTAACTTTATAATTGAAGCATTATTTAGGTATCCGATACAATAAATCTTTAAAAGTATACAGTTCAATCTAAAATATAGGTAATAATTTCTTAAATATACGCGAATATTTGTAATTGTGTGATCCCTATGGAAAACAAAACGGCTGGAGCAATTTTGATGACATTTTCAGGCTATCTTCAGATTAGCCCACCGAGCGGAAATTTGAACGGGCGGGTACTGTTGGTCTTAAATAAAACTATTTTTTAGGATTTTTTCGCGGTTTTTTTTTAATTTTTGGTTCCCGACATTTCGAATGCTTTATAGCAATCTTGGTCACGGGATAGAGGGTTTATATAAAAAGGGCCACTAGGGTTTATAAATAACAAAACATGTAATATTAACGGTTTTAACATAATATTATTGATTTTAACAATTAAGTAAATTACAGTCAAGAAAATGAATAAACTACTCTGTTTTAAATATTATTATACAAAAATACTTGAACTATAACTTGTGGGTTCAGCAGAACTCGAAGAACACTTGATCGAAATTAAATAGAGAGGTGGAGCTCTTATTTATATAGTAAAATTGATGACCCTCTTCTACCCATATCTCTTAATTACTTATCATATTTACTCACTCAAATATGGAAAGAAACTTTATACAATTAAGTATAAGACCTGACATCGACCTACATTTTTATTAGATAATACTATTCTGGAAACTTTAGGTAGCGTTTACTTTGTTGTGGAAATTTTACCGTAATTGTTAGTTTCTGCTTAACTCCGTAAAGTTTATTGGCGGTGATGTGTTATTATTCATGTAAACGAACAACTTCGTAACTAAAAGTTTTATTTTAAAAACGTTCAGAATATGTGAACTAATTTTAAATTCAAATTAACTTGGAATCTGTCTATATGTATCAAGAGGTCCATATTTTTAATAGTGTAGGCGAAAGTTCTGGGACTTTGCATACTAAACATATTATCTTCATGTACCTATTCTCACTTACAAAGTGAAAACAGTGAATCGCATTTTGAACTGCCCTTCAATACTACGCCAATGCGTGCTAGTTCCAAATAAGCGTTATTATGAACGTGAAGATACCGTTCTAAAAAGTCGCAGTCATTTTAGACCAACAAAAGTTAAGCACTTGTATTGCAAATTATTGTCCTAATTTAAGGCTACTCTATAATCCACTACTTCTCTATAACCCTAATAGTGGTAGGTGGGGCCATTCAAGTTATATGTAAGCACCAAAGGGGTCTTTGCTTTGCTTATTTTTGATGACATGGCGGACGGGAGGCAGAGGTGTGTGGGGGGGGGGACTGAATTGTGATTATATCTGCAATGTATATTTATTTAAAACTAGCGACTCACTCTCGCTTTGCTCAGGTTTGTCTCTAGGTTGATTCGCCATATAAACTTTCATCCCCATTTTCACTCCCTTAAGGGATGATTTCCGGGATAAAAGTATCGTATACCTTCCCAAGGTCTCAAACTATCTTATTACCAAATTTCATCTCAATCGGTTCAGTAGATCCAGAGATTACCCCCTACAACCTCACAACCTCACAAACTTTACCTCTTTATAATATTAGTATAGATTATATATTAATTAAAATTTAGTAAATTTGATTAGTCAAACCAATGTTTTCAGAATACACATGACAACCCTACTTGTCTATGCTCAAAACTCAAAAGCGAAAAGCATATTTAGGGATTCCCCAAAATAATTGAGACTTAGTTTACGTAAGCATAGGGGGCCGGGAGGGGGGGGGGGTTAAGTTTTTCTTACATTTACCGACAAGGGGGAAAGAGGGGTTAATAGCTATTACTAAAATTCTGCTTACGCAATACTTAAATGGCTCAAGGGGCCTCTCATCGTGTCCAAAATCTGAGCTAAAGTTATTACGTCGTTGGCAAGAATAACTCACTTTATTTTTCGTAATTGACGATCATTACATCTTTCTTACAACCAGCTCCCTTACTATTTAGGCGACTGACACTACTTTCGATTATTAATGTGAAGTTCAGTGAAAATATTTATTTACAGCTACAATAAAAATTGACCTCATAAAATCAAAATGAAAACGGTAACAGCGCCTCTTGGGCAATTAACTTTCATGTTATCACTCACATTTATATTTTCTAAATGTCATACAATTTATATATAGTAGCCACAAATTTCAAAGATAAAACTATATAAAGCACAAACATGGTTATAGTTTAGAAGAAGATTTTTATAATGATATCTATACTAATATTATAAAGAGGTAAAGTTTGTGAGTTTGTGACGTTGTAGGGGTAATCTCTGGATCTACAGAACCGATTTAAATGAAATTTGGTGAGAAGCTAGTTTGAGACCCTGGGAAGGACATAGGATACTTTTGAGCCGCTAGTATTATATAAAAATTTAGCTATATTATGTTTATTATTAAGTTAAGACTGACAGTTTATTAGAAATCATTAATTTTGCAATAACCTTATCTAAGAAGTTATAGTAATATGTATTCTTGAAATAATAATCTCATTATATTTAATACTTTAAGTATAATAATATGTACTATAAATAATATGTACAGTTATAACCCTGACTTACTTTAGCAAATCTATAGTAAATAAGTATTCATATTCACAATGTCAATAACAATAATATGGCTTGACTGTTCAGACTAAGACCTCAATTGGATTAATGGTTCTTTAAGAAAGCCTTTAGGCAGATAAAGTTCTTTAAAAGAAACAAAAGTGAATCTGTAACTTAATACAATAAAATTAATTATTTCAAAAAATATGTCTTAACATAATGTTTCTATTAATAGTTTATGTCTATCTTTAGTGAATGAAAGTGTATTGAAAGAGCAAAGCTAAAATCATAACATAATAAAAATGTATGTATATTCGACGCCAAAAGCACATTTTTATGTTTTTTATACACAAATTTTAATTTTTTAAAAGTAACATTGACAAAGAATTTTTTTTCTATTTACATATTTATACTTTAAAATTATTACCTTACAGTCCTTGTGCCTATAGCACCAAGTGCAGCCAAATAGTAACCCTACGGCGGCAAGCACCAGCGCCAGCGCCGGCAGCGCTGCATACAGGCTGCTTTCTGTACTCCAATCAAACACCGACTCGCCTGATTCTAAAAATTCAATATTGTTTTAAATGCAATATCTTTTTATTCCACAGATGACTTAGAAGATATTATTAGGAAATAATAATGAACATATATATATAGGTTTCGGTGTAAAAAAACTCTTAAGGCAATTATATTAATTTTATGTTTGAGCTATAAATATCAATAGAGATTTTGATTTTATATGTTATATGAATGTGATTATCCCTCAAATATCTGTAACAATAAAGAAAAGATTGCGGATTCGAGTCCAGCTGGGGGCATTCATTTGTATTATAAGCATGAATGTTTGAACTCCAGTCAAAGGTGATGTATTTAAAGTTATATATGTATATCAACTATCTGGTATCCATTATGCAAGCCTTGTAGTTTACCATGGAACTAGATGGTGCTGTGTGTTAAAGTCCCAACATAAAAAAAAGAAAAAATAATGATTTCAGATTCATTTATTTCTTGTTTTATTTTTTATTAACTTAATAACAAACTAATAAAGGGGCAATTTATTTAATCAGAGAACAATTTCATCAATGAATAAACTATTCAACTATATAAATATAATTAATGAAAACAAATGTAAATGGAGTTTGTTTTATTTTAAAATGTAGTTAAATATAAAAAAAGATATACCTACACCATACATACCAATACATATAATAAAATTCTAACTAAGCCGAATCTGTACATTAAATATTTTTTGGAAAATGTTATTGAAATATTATTATCGATACAGAGGCTGAATCTATAGTTTTTAAAAATTTTCTCTGTCTGTGACTGCATCATGGAAAACCACTGGAGGGATTTTGTTGAAATCTGGTATAATGGTACATGGGTACCCAGTTCAACATAAAGAATACTTTTTATTGCGAGAGAATATCTCATCCCTGTGAAATCTATACTAAACTCTAAAACGTAACTAGGGACAAACCCTAGCAGAGTGAGGGAGTCGCTAGTCATAGATATACATACACATATGCAACCTATTCAACTATGTAACCTTAAAAATAACAAACCATGAGACAAAAATATTTATTACTTTTAAATACCAAATAATACATTTTTTACACACTAAGTTATGGGTAAGTGACTCATAAAATATTTAAAGTTAAAAACCTCATCTTTAGACTTTTATGAAATTAATAATGTACTTAAAAGATATTTAAATATGTATGCCACTTCTGACTTATAACCATTTAAACATAGGGAAATTATTATGTTTATTTGTTTATATAATAAGGATGTTATTCTAACATAGTACATATTTTAGATTGTCTTACTATTTTACAAATAATTATAACTATCACAGACGAAATGTTCATCTACCTACTTTTCTAAATCAATAGTTTATTTTAAATAAATATATTTCTTAATAAAAGGATTTAGGTACTACCCAATAATGAATATTTTGAATTAATAATAGTTTCGCAAATATTTACAGTATGTCTTATTAATAAATTCATGAACAATATTAGAGTATTAGCTGCATATAAATTCTACCCTCACATAATGCTATAAGCGCAATTATATTAATTAGTATAATGTTCGTTATTGACTTCCAGAGTTTGTAATTATATCTAATCGTCATTAGAAACTAGCAATCATTTAAGTTGTGAATCAAAAAAACATCATTTTCTATTAAATTTACTTACCGTGCGGGTAGACCCGCAGCGTCGGGTTAATAGGCAATCCTTGTACAAATCGGAGGCCCGTTGAGGCCAAAACTAAAATCACCCATAACACAGCCATCGTTATTACATTATTTGCACAGCCGTATTATTTTTCGTTTCATTATTTATCATTTTAATACATCACCACAACACAAAAAATACACCGTCCCTGACAGGTTTGCACTATAGAATAAATACTACAACACTATACAATATTGACGGTAAAAATTGCGCACAATTAACATTTTCAATGTCTAGATTATTTATAAGACACAAAATATAAATTTTATTAAGATTTTCGTACACATTTACATATAAATTGCGCAACCCACAGCTGTACAGAACGCCATTTTCGATTTAGATGTTGACAGATGAAAAGATAATAAACTTTTATTTTTATAAGTAGTAACATTTCTTATATTTATTTTCAAGAGATCCTACATCCATTCATCTTTAAAATTTTGAAAAATCGTATAAGCTAAATAGCTTAATTTCATTTAGTATAAATATTTTTATATATTTTGCGATATATTTATTTTTCCAGTATAAATTAAAAAAACATACTGACATAAACGTCAATGTCCGAAAAGTTTGACAGCCGTAGCAACAAAAACATTGAGATTCTCGTAAAAAGTGTTCTAAATCTAAATATTATGTGTCATTATTAAGTTAAAAAAAATTCTAAAAAATTATGTATCAAGTAAAATTCTATAGCAAATCATAAGTATCACAGTGGATGCTTTTAATCTTCGTCTTTAGTAAACGTAACCTCAAAACACATGTACGATAAAATTAAAATAATTAGTCAAGTAGTTAGAATAAATAGTATTCGTTACTACAGTAAAGATAGTAGTAAGAAATTATTGGAATTTCTAGGCACAATGCCTAAAGTAAATACTGGAAGAATTAAGGAAGTACAACGCCAGCGTCTGCAAACGTCTAAAAAGTCTGAGAAGTATGGCCCTAGTACAGTCTACTTACAGGTACTTGGTTCTGGAGCACGCGGAGCTCCTAACACCCTTTACCTGTTTACAGACCAAAAACGGTAAGTCAATACCTTTATTAGATATGTATTATACAGATTTATGAATGATGTAATTTTACTAATAATCTTGCAATTTTTTGCATGCACATTATGTTAGCTAATAAAAACCTTTGAAAGTTGCATTTAAAAATTACAGATATCTCTTTAATTGTGGGGAAGGAAGTCAGAGATTAGCTCATGAACATAAAGTGAAGCTATCAAGGCTTGAGCATATTTTTATTACCAATAAAACTTGGCGTAATATTGGTGGACTTCCAGGGCTTTCACTTACCTTACAAGATGTTGGTGTACCAAACATTACATTACATGGCCCAGAAGGATTGGTGAGTAATACTTAAATAAAAAATAAATGCATAATTTTACAGTATTTCAAAAAGAATAAAAGGTTTAAGATAGATACCATCAACACTTGTGCGTGTGTTAAGTAGATATTCATTACATAGTTATTCTTTTTTCAGGATGAACTTTACAATGCCACAAGAAGGTTTGTTATAATGAAAGAAATGAATGTGACAATGGCTAACTGCAGTCCTAGTGTGGACTTTGAGGATAATGTCATGACTGTAAAATATGTTCTTATGTAAGTATACTTGAAAAGAAATTAATAGCTATTATAGTACAACAGTCAATTCTATCAATCCTTATATCATTCCTAGTATTATCAATGTAAAATATTAGGTTGATCTGTCCCTCTTTTATGAACTAAATATGCAATTTTATAAATAAAGATAGTTTGCGGGTACAAGTGTATAAAAGGATACTGTCCTTAACGTTCTTAGGTTAGATTTAATCTATTCATATAATAAAATGGTAATGAATCTGTACAGTAAATATTTTTTGGAAAATCTTATTGAAATAAACATTATTATCAATACAGAGGCCGAATCTATAGTTTTTAGAATTTTTGTCTGTCTGTCTGTTATCACATCACAGAAAAACCACTGGAGGGATTTTGATGAAATTTGGTATGGTGATAGCTGATTAGTCAGAGTCAACTTATACGTGTAGGATACTTTTTACCATGGGAAAATGTCTAATTTCTGAGAAAAAATTAAAAAACTGCAATGTAAGAGTATACTAATATGTAAAACCTAAGAATTTGGTTATTGGTCGTCGGAACGCAGGCGGAGTCGCGGGCAATGCTAGTAAACACATATATATGATACATAAAAAAAACAAAAATGTAATATCCAGGTATCCTCAAGACAACATTCTCCAAACAGACCCAAAACCTGCTGCAAAAAAAGCAAGACTTGGTAATGACTCAGTTGATAAAGAATTTGAAGAGTTCATTCATGATGATACAGATTATTACAAGAGAGAAGCTAAGAATGTTGAAGGAAATAAAAATAAGAATGCTAATTTAAAACCTAAACCTACTTCAGAGAAAGGTGAGTAATATTTATTAAGAGTGTTCATTATTATTTAATTTTTTAAAAATATATTAGAAATATGTAAAAAATATAGTAATTATGAAAGAATAATTGTTCTTCCAGATCCTGTTAAGAAAAAAGATGAACTAGTATTACATGACTTGCAAAAACATAGTCATTGCACTGTAGCTTACATTTGCATCATAAAGGTAGTTATTGTTCATTCTTTGATATTTATAATAAATTAACATTAGTTAATACAAATATTACAAATATATTCTCCTTAAGTAAAATTGAAGTAAAGAATGGTTATTTATTATATTTTTATGTTAAAATACCCACTTTGAGACGTTTAGGACTTAGGTACCTTATTGCAGTTCATTATATTTAGAATGCTTAGACAAGATGATATAATGATCAATTACAAATAAAAGTTTGAAAAAATTTATTGAAATCATAAATGCTTGCGTTATGTCAGAGAATCTTAATGTGTTTGAAAACATAGTATATCATCTTGTCTAAGCTCTCAGGCTACAGTGAAAAACCATCTGATTAGTCGAAACAATGGATATAGAGTGGACTGAGTGTTTCTTTACCAGGCGTCAGCTCAGAATGGCAGAAAGGTATGATAGAGACAAAACGGAATGTGGCCAGAGGTCTTTGTATTAATTGAAATACGATTATTGAAGATAGATATTTATAACCATTTTACATTCCATTATAATATTATAATTTTCAATAAATTATAATTTTTATTTTTTTTACATTCCATTTATAAATTCAAATTGGTATAAAAGACAGGTATTGCCCGTACGTTTTCTTTCCTTCTAGAGCAGTCAATTTCATGAGAGTATTGCTCAGTCCATTCTCTAAGTCATGGTAGAAACATAATTTGCTTTATGCAATTACGAATCTGTGGTCTCTACTGTAGCAGACAATAATATACTAATATACCACAAATCTCTTGAAAATTCAGTATATAGAAATTTCTTCCTTTTCAGCCCATAAGAAACTATATCACTTTTGCATTAAATATATTATTTGAAACTCTTTTAATATCTTATTAACATCCATTTTGATGCATTTTCTTTATATATCAATAGAAACGCCTGGGAACATTAGATTTAGAGAAGTGTGTAGAACTTGGAGTTAAACCTGGACCATTGCTGGGTCAGTTGAAAAGTGGACAAGATGTTGTATTGCCCGATGGAACACTTGTCTTATCAAAGGATGTAAAGACTCCTGATGATCCTGGACCAGTTTTTATAGGTATTGTTATAGTATATTTAGGCTGTTTAGTATATATCCATTGTCCAAAAGGGGAAACACCCAATTATTATTTTTTTTAATTAATTTATTACATATTAAAAAATATAATTCATTATTAAGTAGTTTATGTTTTTAATATACTTCTAGTTTCCTAGTTCTATTTCCAGAATAAGTATCCAATTTTTTTTCTAGTTATGGAAGTACCAGACCTATCATATCTAAAGGAGTCTGAGTTTTCTGCTCACTTCGACAATGGCACTAATCCCCCAGAGAACATACCAACAGTGATTGTGCATTATACACCGCCACATGTGTTTAATCATCCTACGTGAGTTTATTATTAATAAATTATTGTAAACAAACTAGCTCCCTTCTCAAGATAAACATATAAATACATACATGCACTTAAATTATTGATTCCAAAAACCCTGTGTTGTATTTGTCATCAACCAGCTAGCGGGCTTTCCTGAATGTTCAGTCCCACCACGCCGCATTTAATTTGTTTTTTTTTATGTCTACAATTTATTACAAATTCAATTTTCGGGCCCAAATCTCAGCATTTAGCCCGGTTTTTTAAATTAGGACGTTAAGTTACCAATAAAAATGAAGATAACATACCGCAAGAATTGGGTTGATGTCAGCAGCGACCGGCCAGTCGTAAAACTTCAGCAGTATGAAAGACGTACTGAGTCGATCCCAAGTAATTTGAAAAATGGACAGGAGACGACGATTATGTTACCAATCAGTTAAAACTTCTTAGCAAATATTGGGCCCCTCCATCCAGCAATAAGCCAGTTTTTTTTATTTTATTTTTACCTATTGCGCTTTCCTGTCAATATTCAGCTTCACCACGTGAATTTGTCCCTTTTTTTTTAATTTTGATAATTCGTCACAAACCAGTTACCGCGCGTTCCTCTCGCTGTTCGGGCCGACCACCCGGCACCTGGTGCTCAACACGCAGAACACGTGCCTCGGGTCGGAGGCGACGCACCGCACGCAGCACAAGCTGCACCTGCTGGACGGCGACATGTTCCCGCTGCTGCGCGACGCCAGCGTGCCCGCCGTGTGGGGCGCGCCCGCCGCCGCCGCCGCGTCCGCCGCGCTCGACCGCCCCGCCAGCCCCCTCAGGATGCGGGCCTTGGAGGAGTTGAAGCATAATGTGAGTATATGTGTAGATACACTACCACACACATATGTACATGCATACATTCACACAAAAACACGTTCATATTTATGATATGTATATGGAAATATCATGTACATTGAACATACATTTATGCAATAGGGAATATACGTGATTTTTTATACAACAGCTTACATCTTTATATAATTGTAAAAAAACCAGATCCTAAAAACTAAAATTTTGTATAAAAATATTTTTTTTAAGAGTCATACCCATATGGATACTTTAAACGACCGCCATTTCGCGCGCTTGGTGTGACTTTACAGTATGATATACATAGAAAAATCACGATTCAATTTGTATCGATTTTATTCGCTATGGTGTACTCTGACGTCATATTCGGTCTGACCAATGGCGTTCGTTTTAACTACTTTGAAATTCCCACCTATATTTTCACTTTTTAATAATTATTTTCTTAATCAAAAAGAATTTAAATTAAAAAATATTAATATAGGCTTAATTCAAATGCAATAAATATTATAAAAAAAATATTTCACTTTTATTTAAATCATACGTTTATTCTTTATTGACTTTATGGATCAATTTTGCTAATTAAACATAATCACATTTCATATTAAAAATAATGGAATAACTGTAAAGTTTGTAATTTTTACTTATATGCCTCTTATAAATATCAGCTTTATACCTGTAGTGATAATATGTACACAACAATGTGCTATTATAATTTCATTCAATTTTTCCTTACTACCAACACATCCCAATAACATCATTGCTCATAAAAATTTAACAATCGTCAACTAATTTCAAATTCTCTTTTAAATTTACAAGAGATAAACCCTGATGTATATTATATACTTCTTTATCATAAAAAAAAATCTTTAAAAAATACCATATTTAAAATCATTTACAAAAGCTGATCATACTTCCTTAATTACTGAACTCCTATAGCTTTGTGTCTTGGCTTTGCATGCTCGGTGTGGGAAAATAAAACAATATTTTTAGATCGCTATGGCGCAGTTCCAGAATATAATAAATATGGAGGGTTGTTCCGGGGGAGATGCGGGATTGAAGAACTCGGAGTCACTGGACAGGCTCGAGCTCATCGCGGGCAGGACCCTATCGATATTTCATTTGAGGCCTAAGAGAGAGCTGGATAGGTGAGTCGTGTCAAGAAATAAATCATAGTTTAGCATTACTGTTATTTCTTAATTACCTAAGGTACCTCGATTAAGAAGCGCTAACACGATCAAAGTCTTCTTTGACAAAGTAGTTTTGACGACTTTTTTGACGCAACTTTGATCATGTAAACGAGCAATCAAAGCGCACTTTGACGTCGGCGTTCAATCAGAGTGGACTTTATCAAAGAGAATCTCGTTTCAAAGCTTTTTGTCAAAGCAGACTTTAAGCGTGTTTAACGCGGCTTTAGGGAATTTAGGATAATATGGATTTATACATTTGTTTGTATTTTGTTTATTGAATAATGCATGAGTTTAGTAAAACTTATTATGACTTAAATTTAAAAAAGATTTAATGTTGCGTACCTACTTTCGTACATTTTATCCATGCAAATGCGTTGCGTTGGCTCGCAGTGAATAAAGTGCATTTCATCAAATGGCATTATGACGCCATATTATGACATATCAAATGAAAAAGCTCGCAATGCGGGATACAATATATGGTGCGGGATACATTTTTTTTAATTATTTTATACTAGTGACTCACCCTCGCTCCGCTCGAGTTCATCCCTAGAATTAAATTTTAACGTTTAGTATAGATTTTTCAGAGATGAGATATTTTCCCGCAGTAAAAAGTATCGTATATGTTGACCCGGATGACCAGCTATCATCATACCAAATTTCATTAAAATCTCTCCAGAGGTTTTATCGAAATGCGGTCACAGACAGACGGACAGACGGGCAAAAATTCTAGAAACTATAGATTTGGCCTCTGCATGGATAATAATGTATATTTCAATAAGATTTTCTAGAAAATATTTAATGTGCAGATTCGGCTTTGTTACAATTTTATTATATGTATAGATAATCCACATTCTGCAGGTCGATGGAATCAAAACTTCACATACAAGATTATATCCAAGAAGCAATGGACGCTGACGGTTTTGTTAGCAGTCTAGAGCATTTCCGTAAACTGGTTGAAGATATGCGTTACGCGAAAAGAGATTCTCAAAAGGAGTACCCTAAGGTTGTTTTTCTCGGAACAGGTTCCTGTATACCCAGCAAGACAAGGAACACCAGTGCTATTGTACTACATATTGAGTGAGTATTTTTTATATGGAAAGGAATGTACGTTATACCTTAAATACGAATAGTATATAGTTTAAGAGTTAACTCTTATGTCTAGTGGCTAGCATGTACGGCTCAAATCTGGAGGACCTGGATTCGAGTCTTTGGTCGGGCCAAGTATAATTAATGGATTTTCCTTTATAATATTTCCTGTGCAGATGGCTAGTCTCATTGAGATAGGACTGTGGCCGAAATCGATCACGTTAACATCATTTTTTTATATATAGAAGAGAATGTATGTTAAGTGTTACATAGTATGCAGTCTAAGGGATATCTATAATTATTAAAATTGAGGCTTAAAGGCTCGAGTAAATAGCAATATTTACTAGTAATTAATCTAATATATCAACAATATAATTTTTACAGCGAAGACCGGTCAATGCTGCTGGACTGCGGTGAAGGCACGTTCGGTCAGCTCGTACGCTTCTACGGGCCGAAGCGGGTCAACTCGTTTCTGAGGACTCTCAAGGCTATTTATATATCGCATTTGCATGCGGATCATCATATAGGTGAGTTGGACGATTATGGTATAAAAATTAAAAGCAATTTTGTAAATGTTTAAAAATTTTGGTCTTTAAATGAATGTATTCTATTTTTATTGAATAAAATTATTTTTCTTAGTATTATTTTCACACTAGCGACTCACCCTCGCTTTGCTCGGGTTTGTCGCTAGGTATATTTGCAGATTTGACGGTTAGTATGGAATAGATAGAAGTATAATATCCCTTAAAATAAAAGATAAGTTTTATATCCCTTACTTCAGAAATGATTGATTTCCCAGGGATGATTTCTAAGGTAAAAACTATAACATACCAATTTTCATCTAAATCGTTTAAGCTGTTTAGCTGTGAAAAGGTAACAAACAAACAGAGTTACTTTCACATATATAATATTAGCAGTTCCGATGACCAAAAAACAAATTCTTAGGTTTTACACATCAGTATACTCTTGCATTGCAGTTATTGTATTTTTTATCAGAAATGAGACATTTTCCAGCGGTAAAAAGTATCCTATATGTTGACGTGGATAACCAGCTATTACCATACCAAATTTTATCAAAATCCCTCCAGTGGTTATTCTGTGATGCGGTAACAGCCAGACAGACAAAAATTCTAAAAACTATAGATTCGGCCTCTGTATCGATAATAATATTTATTTCAATAAGATTTTCCAAAAAATATCTAATGTACAGATTCAGCGTTGTTATAATTTTATTATATGTATAGATTAGTGTGGATTTTGTTCCCGTCATTTCGACGCTTCGAATGCTTTTATAGCAAACATGTTAACAGGAGAGGCTAATAAAAGAGAGAAAATAAAACCATATTAAAAGATAAAAAATATTTTATTTTCAAAATATCGAATTTTCGCATAAATCCAAGAAAGTACAATGACTAACTTTTAAACAAATTTTGCAGTTCTTTACCTTTTTTTTCACCAGGTTTAATCGGTATATTGCAAGCGCGTCGCGAAGCGTTGAATGAAGTGAGCGCAGAGGGCGCGGCGAGCGCGCTGTACCTGCTCGCGCCCGGACAGATCGTCAGCTGGCTGTCCGTGTACGACCAGCGGTTTGAGAGGATACGGAACGAGTTCACGCTTATACCTAATCAGAGTTTGGTGAGCATTTCATGTTGTTTGTATTCATTTTTATACTGTTTTAGATGATGTAATACTATATGTATACTAATATTATAAAGAGGTGAAGTTTGTGAGATTGTGACGTTGTAGGGGGTAAACGTTGGGGGGAGAGAGGGAGAGGGGGGGATGGGGAAGCTAAGGACAAACCCGAGCGAAGAGAGGGCGAGTCGCTAGTAATACTATAGGTATATTGTATAAGTATAATACTATATGTACGCCCAGATACCCCATCTCATTTGAAGAAATGTAATTATTTAAGTTTAGGTTATTATTGACATTTGAGGAGCTATTTTGTTTTGAATTTATGAACGATAGATGATTCTTAACCAAACGCTGTCAAACTATTCAATTTTATTTGAGAAATAATTGATGAATATACAAAATAAACTTATGACTAATGGCTAAGAAATTAATCAGTCAATACAATTGTGAAATTACCATCCCATTATTGCATGTGGCTTTAAACTTAGATGTTTTGTTTATAATATTATATATTATGTAAGATATATTATTTTACTTATTACTTTTGTACAAACAAAAATAATAGGCAATGGTAGCCCAATGGAAACACGATCGCTTGGAAAACCGAGTAAAGAGATGGTTCATATCCCGGGTCTCGCACCTCTGACACTTTCATGTGCGAATCATTTCTAACATGATTACCACTTGCCTTACGGTGAAGGAAAACATTGTGAGGAAACTTGCATGTCTGAGAGAACCTAGCAAGTTTTCGAAAGACATGAGAAGTCCGCCAACCCGCTCATGGCCAGCGTGGTGGACTATGGCCTGATCCCCTCATACTGAAGGGAGGCCCGTGCCCAGCAGTGGGTCGCTAAAAAGGGCTGAATACAAACAAAAATAACAAACCATTGTTCTTTGTAACGACACTACATAACCAATTTCATTCCAGCTACAGTCCAAGCAAGAAGATGGAACCAGCACGGAGATGACATCGGCGGTGCTGTCGCACATCGGGGTGCAGCACATCCGCACGTGCCCCGTGGCGCACTGCCCCAACGCGTTCGGCGTGGCCGTGGGCGTGGGCGTGGGCTTCAAGCTCACCTACTCCGGGGACACCATCCCGTGTGACGACCTCGTCGAGATCGGTGAGTGAATTCTTGGAACAGCGGAAAGAATAAAGTGTACAGAAGTAACACAACTTAGTGCTATCTCTTTATCTAAATATATTTTTCTAATAAATTCTGTAAATATTGTTATTTAATCGGTATCTTAACGTATAACGATAAAATTCTAAAGTTAAAGCTACTGGTCAAGTTGCTCAACTCTTATGGTCTTCGATAATCACAATTTTTTTTTCAACACATCAGGCAAAGACTCAACACTGCTCATCCACGAGGCCACCATGGAAGACGAACTGGCGGACGAGGCGCGAGTAAAAATGCACTCGACGACTTCCCAAGCGATAGAAATTGGCAAGAGAATGAACGCCAAGTACACGGTACTAACGCACTTCAGTCAGAGATATGCTCGTCTACCGCGGTTAAATGCGCATATACTGAAGGACAATAACAGTGTTGGTATCGCCTTCGACAATATGCAGGTTTGTGTTGCTCTTTAATATTTGCTTATCTATACTATAATATTATAAAGAGGAAAGATTTTTTTGTTTGTTTGTTTGTTTGTTTGTATGGAATAAGCTCCCAAACTACTGAACTGATTTAGATGAAATTTGGTAAGAAGATATTTTGAGACCCTGGAAAGGACATAGGATAGTGTTTTAGAATCATCCCTTAAGAGGGTAGAATGGGGATAAAAGTTTGTATGGGGAAACAACCTGGGGACGCACCCGAGCGAAGCCGTTGTAATATATTGTTATTATTTTCAGTTTAGGGGCCGTTCATAAAATACGTCACGCTTATGTCAGTTTTTTTTGTATTAAGGATTAAGGCCTCTAGAGTCATGTCGAAAATAAATTGAACGGCGAACGTCACGTTGCCGTAGACCCCCGTCCCCCCTTTTCACATAGATATTTAGTTTTTGCTCTCAGAAAAAAAATCTACGTTAAATTATTATATAATTATCTTTATTTCCAGCTAACAATGAGCGATTTGGAACTTCTTCCACACATGTACGCGCCATTACAACTGATGTTTGCAGAACATTGCGTCGAATTAGAACTTAAAGCGGCACAACGAGCTCGCCTAAAAGAAAGACGACCATCTCCGGCTAACCTCCCCACATCCGGTATCATTAGAAACTATTCCACATGTAGCACAGATTATAAAATGACAGTAGACTCTGTGACAGATGACAGCACAGATAATGTCAATGGCAGTAATTGTAATGTCACAGATAATGAAACAATTAGTGGTAGTTAGTTGTCACTTAGCTTTAGTTAGGGAGTGAGCTAAAATATGAACCTTCTTCGTTTTTAAGCTATTAACAAGACAATTCGATTAAAAATATGTAACGCAAAAAGTATACTGATTATTTATTATATACATGTTAGTCTACAGTACACCGAGTCTTTTCCTTATTGATTAATAACAAGCTTCGTTTTGACGAGACTTCCAACTTTGGTTTTGATCAAATGGTTTGGTTCAAATCGTCCCAATCTCCGAACTTGGTAAAATAACAACGTCATAAAATGTATTAATAACCGGCTGATTTTGATAGTATTTATTATTAAAAATATGCATAGTTAATTGATCACATTGTCCTACAAATAAGATGGTAGGATTTCTCAGTCCTACGCTTGGATACTGTCTCCCGCATGGTGATAATCAAATTTTTGCTAGAACCACATACACATATACATCTGGTATAGAGGCTATTACAAGGATAACAACAATTCTAACTGAGTCATACCTGTACATTAAATATTTTTTGCAAAATCTTATTGAAATAGTCATTATTATCAATACAAAGGCTGAATCTATCGTTTCATTTTTAGAATTTTTGTCTGTCTGTCTGTTACCGCATTACGAGAAAACCACTAGACAAATTTTGATGAAATTTAGTATGATAATAGCTGGTTATCCGGGTCGACTTATAGGATACTTTTTACTACGGGAATTATTTAAATAATAAAAAAGGAAATTTATTCCCTAGTTACGTTTTAACGTTTAGTATCTCTCAGTTCGGGTTATTCCGAATAACCCGAAACTGAGCGAGGGTGAGCCGCTAGTATAATAAAAAATGGTCGTACAGTTCGCACGCTAGCACAAACTTGTTTTCTTAAATTTTTTACTTCCCTTATTAAATTAATTTTAAATAAGTCGCTTTTCTTTTTATCTCTATGTCATTTAAATTTAGTCCATCTAAATTAACTGTATAGTATGGTAAATATATATATATATATATATATATATATATATATATATATATATCATTAGGATGCCATTTTAATTTAACTGATTACCTAGTTGTTAAGTTTGTATTTCACTAGTAAAAATAAATAGTTACTCGATGTGACGACTGTTCTATGACAAGAAGATTAAATTTATAAATGTTGAAATATTTATTTTATTTAAGCTCATTAATACATTTTAATCATTATAATTTAGGATTCCCTTCCTTATCTACACATATACTTACATAAAAATGAAATAATGAAATGGTTGACACATGACTTGAGATTGGCTGGATCGATTTGGCTAAATATATCTTTTAAATGTGTTTAATAGTCCGAATGGGGTTCTTAGGGAGGGTGGGGGTTTGATATATTGAGAACAAACCGACTGATTAAAAATACTTACTAGTAAATAGCAACCAATAAAGCACTATAATGACAATTCCATATTAATTGGGGCTGACGTGTCTTAATTCGCTGCAAGAGGGCGCTAGTGTAGAGTGAGGTCTTTAGAAATGTCAAATACTGAACGTTTACGGTTTTTATCGCGGATTTTCAATAATATTCATGATAATTGTAAAAATTGTGTCATTTCTGACTTATTACACTATAATAATTTATAATTATTATATTAAATTTATTTGCCCTGCCAGACTAATAAATACTTTTCATGGATAGCAATAGGACCTCACTCGCCAGTGGTGCCAACTAGTGCCACCAGGAACCATGCCCTCATTAAATTAGAGGTAGCTTATCCTAGTAGTCATTATATTATAATATTTTTTAAACTAAAACAAAAAATATATTATATATCTTATATATTTGAATTATGTAAGATTAAATAAGTATATTTCAGTTCAACGTAAACGGTCGCCATGTTGTGATGAAGTTGCTGCTCCTTTTCCACCCGCAAACCAGAATAAAGAAAAACATTGCTCGCGTTAGTTTTATATATTTATATAGTGTCTATTGTATTTTTCCTATCAGCTACCCACAATGTCTTTAGTTATTGCGAAATGCGAAATTTTGGATAGATGTTTCTTACTCACATAATCACGTCAGAACGGCTGAACGGATCTGGATAAAGTTTGGCACAGCACTCAATTACGACACCCGATAGTTGGCCTGCCGAGGTAGACCACAATAACTAGGGGTCCTCATGGTCCACTCTGCAGTCAGAGGAGTAAGTAAGTAGGAGCAACCTGCAAGACCTATGAATAGTTATTATGGAAGCTATGAATGGACTGTATGAAGACTATAATATTTGTGTGTTTGCATGTACCCACGCGTATTATAGTGCGTGTGTACGAGCGTGAGTGCGTGCGTGCATGTGTTTACGTATACTGAGGCTGCAGCTGATAGAAGGAAATGGAAAGATAAATCATGTACTGTATTTATGTGGCGTGGAGGACAAGTAGAAAAGAGGGATGATATACAGAAGGCAGATCTTGGATAGTAGATTAATTATCATTGATTGATGTTTTTCAATCTATTATCTCAATAAATAAAATAATATTTCAGCTTCACGCAAGCGGTCGCCATCTTGTGAGGTTACACCCCCTACTCCTTCAACTGTTCCTATACAGAATAGAGATAACAATTGCTCTCGTTAGTCTTCCTTTGTAATACTCTTTTTTTTATTTAGCTACTACATATTAATATGTCCATGTTATACTATAATTAGATGAGCTCAGGGATATGAATAAAACACTATATTTAATAAAAAATTTAGGCTTACAAATATTATTAGTAGATACGTAAATTAATGCTTTTTGGATATGAATTTGAATTAAAATATCCCACCGGCTACCTGGTATTAGCAACAAAGATATTTCTAGAAAGAAATATGTAAACAACTGTATTTATAATGTGACGGTGCCACTTACCAACATAGGTTTAAGACAAGAGAGAAGTAGCAGATTAGCAGGAAAAATATTATCTGGAACACGAAGCAAATCTTGTTCGCCTTCTAAAATTTCCAGTGGCAATAATTCGCCTAGTAAGTACCTATTTGCTCTTTTGTTAAATCACTTATGGCCGATTTCACCAACGTCACGTAAGTTTAAGGGATCCCCTAAGCATGGTTAGGGGGCTGTTTTAGGGGACAGTTTCTGTTTCACCGACAATCAGGGTCACCTAAATGTTAAAATGCAACTTAAATATAGATACTAGAAATACGGGCTCTGACGATGGTAAAACAAAATTTAATTTAGGGGCTAGTTTAGGATAACATTTAAGCTAGGGATCCCATACGTAGGTGGTAGCTTATGGGATGTTGGTGAAAGCGGGCATTAATGTTTTTAAATTTACACGAATATTTGACGTTTTAAATATTTTTTGCCGTGTGGTGGCGGCTTTAGAATACATTCCACCACCCCTCTCTTTCCCGTGGGTGCCGTAAGAGCCGGCTAAGGGATTTATTTAGCAGAACACCTGCTTCACTGGTGGTAGACGTTAGTCGACCGGGTTGGTACCACCGTGCAGTTGCGAAACATCCGCCATAGTGATCCGGCGTAGTCCAGCTCGCGTTCCGGAGTCAGCGCTGCATAGCCGACAAGTGGTTAGATTTTGTAGCGAGTAAGGGACCGATAAGCTAGAAAGCATGTTCTAAATGGCATCAGTCGGCCCGCCGGCCAGGGAGACCTGTAGAAACGGTGGTGCCGCTGGCCGCCCGCGGCATAGTACAGGGGCCCAATTGGGACCAACCATTCCAGGAGGCTGCCCCACCAGGCCGCGCATAATCTTGGAGTAGCTCGTCGTGCCGGTTGGTGACCGGATGTGGGACCCGGCGACTACTTCCGGGGGGGTACGGGAGCCCTTCCGTCCGGCGGACCGGCTTGTGTCATTACATGCACTCTAGATTCCATTTTGTTCCTTCTCTGCTATAGTATCTGACCACTTTTTTTGTGCTCCGTTTTTTTCCCCTCTCCGTCCTATTATGACAGCGCGAATTCCACATTCAGGTTTTACAGCGGCAACTTCTAACCCCTCCCACACAAAAACGTCATTTGAGGTTGAGTTCGCCAACATCCGCGGGCTCCATTCCAACCTCAACGCCGTACATCAACATCTTGAGACAGTAAGACCTGCAATGCTTTTCCTAACGGAGACTCAGATACTTCCCCCTGCAGACATATCATACCTACAGTATCCCGGCTACATCCTTGAAGAAAATTTTGTCGGAAAAGCTGGAGTGTGCCTGTATGTTAGGGCAGGTCTCTGCTGTCGCCGATTGCGCTGTTTGGAAGACCCCTCCTTTTCTGTCCTATGGGTACATGTTGATCAAGGACCCATTAATTGTATATACGTGTGCCTTTACCGTTCCCACACTGGAGATAATGAGACCACTCGACTATTTGATTATCTTAGTCAGGCGGCAGATGATGCGCAGGAGCAGTTCCCAAATGCAGAACTGGTGTTCTTGGGGGATTTTAATGCTCATTATGAGACTTGGTTGGGTTCCTCCAAAACTGACCACGCAGGACGAACTGCTCACGCATTTGCTCTCACGCATGACCTGACACAGCTGGTTCTCCAGCCCACCAGGATACCTGACATTGTCGGTCAAGCTCCCTCCTTGCTGGACCTTTTGCTGACAAACGACCCAACTAAATATAACGTGAAGGTCGGAGCGCCTTTGGGCTCCTCTGACCATTGTCTAGTTGGTGCTACTGTGCCATATGTCACTCCTCCACGACCTGTGGAGGTGAAGCGACGGTTATGGCACTACTTGTCGGCTGATTGGGATGGCTTACGTGATTTCTTTGCGTCTGTCCCCTGGTCTTCACGCTGTTTTGGTGAGAGAGATCCGTCCGAGAGTGCAATCGCCATCGCTGATGAAATACTATTGGGAATGGAATATTATATTCCCTTCAGTGACGTTGTCGGCGGTGGTAGATCTCGTCCTTGGTTCAACCGCGAATGTACCGATGCTGTAGAGCAGAAACAATCGGCTTATCGTGCTTGGACTAGGGCCCGCTCCCTTCGTGATCCCAATGTCGAATCTCTCAAAACTGCTTATAATGCGGCTACTAAAACTTGCAAGAGGGCTTACATTAGAGCAGATACTCAGCGCGTAGCACGATTTGGTCAAGAACTTCTTTCGCACCCTACGGGAAGCCGTAGCTACTGGCGACTGACCAAAGCCGTGCAACGTAACTTCTGCCAGCCTACGCTGCCACCGCTATGATATCCTGATGGATCTCTGGCCCATGACGCACAGCAGAAGGTCAATATATTGGCCTCTCTGTTTGCAGCCAATTCCCGTCTCGACGACTGTGGAGCCGAACCTCCGACTATACCATATTGTGGCACAACAATGCCTGATATCCAGATTAGGCAGCGTGATGTACGGTCAATTCTACAGTCGATCGACACCCGGAAAGCAAGTGGTCCTGACGGTATTCCTGCGATTGTTCTAAAAAATTGTGCAGCAGAGTTGGCTCCAGCACTAACGCGCCTGTACCGAAACTCCTATTCCTCAGGAATAGTGCCGAAGGCCTGGAAGGTGGCGAACGTTCAACCAATCCCCAAAAAAGGTGACCGTTCTGATCCCGCCAACTACCGACCCATAGCCGTCACCTCGGTACTGTGTAAGGTGTTCGAGCGGATCATAAACTCGCAACTCATCCGCTATCTAGAAGATCACTCCATTATCAATGATCGTCAATATGGTTTTCGACCAAAACGTTCGACGGGTGATCTTCTAGCTTTTATGACGCATCTATGGGGCGAGGCTATGGACAAGCATGGCGAATCGATTGCTGTTAGCCTTGACATCTCGAAAGCTTTCGATAGGGTTTGGCACCGTTCTCTTCTTTCCAAGCTTCCGGCCTACGATCTGTCTCCTCGATTGTGCGACTGGGTGGCTGACTTCCTGCATGAGCGCAGTATCCGCGTTCTCTGCGATGGGCAAGCTTCTAGCTTCCTACAGGTGAACGCCGGTGTGCCTCAGGGGTCCGTTTTATCGCCAACACTCTTCCTTCTGCATATCAATGACATGTTATCCCTAGGTAATATTCATTGCTATGCAGACGACAGCACTGTCCACGGTCGATACTTTGGCCATCCAGCCGCTAATCGAATGGAGATAGATAACAGGAGAACAGAACTTGTCCGTGAGCTCGACGATGTCTTGTACCGCATCTCAGAATGGGGTTCAAAGAACCTGGTCGAGTTCAATGCCAAGAAGACGCAGGTGTGCGCGTTTTCGGCAAAAAAATCTCCATTCCTTTGTTTTCCCTCTCTTCAGAACACTCGCCTTACTATGCAGGATGGCATCAACATCCTCGGAGTTAATATCCGCAGCGATCTGAACCAAAAAAACTATATCGAGAGTGTCATTTCGTTAGCTTCGCGTAAACTCGGGGTCCTGAACAGGGTGAAGCGGTTCTTCTCGCCTGAGCAGCTATGTCTACTTTACAAGACTCAAGTGCGCTCATGCGTTGAGTACTGCTCCCACCTCTGGGATGGCTCTGCAAAGTACTTGTTAGACGCTCTTGATAGATTGCAACGCCGTGCTATCCGCATAATCAATAAACCTGAGGCTACTCAGTACTTAGAATCTCTGCAATTGCGTAGAGATGTTGCTTCTCTAGCCGCTTTCTATCGCGTTTATTACGGCGAGTGTTCAGAAGAGCTCTTCAAACTTATACCCTCCTCTCCTTTCCTCTCCAAAACCACACGTGCTGGTCGGAAATTCCATCCTCACACGGTACTACCCATACCTTCTCGTACCAAAAGGTTTGGCAGCTCTTACCTGTGCCGCACTATTAGGAAATGGAACTCATTACCGTCTCACGTGTTTCCCTCTTCCTATAATCCTGGGTCGTTTAAACGGAGCGTAAAAAAGCACATTTGCAGGCCGACGAGGTGAGGTTGATCGGAATCGAGATCAAGTCCCGGAACCGATGGATCTCATTCTGGATTCCACTGATGCTTTCCATCAGGCATCATGGAGTCATCTTGTCGAGCGACGATAAAAAAAAAAAAAAAAAATTTTTCGCAGATTTATTTTAATTTTTCGGTCCCCGACGTTTCGAATGCTTTAAAGCAATCATGATCACGAGAAAAACTAAGGTTATTGACATAAATAAGCATTCGAAACTTAAAAATAAGTCCGCGAAATATCCGAATAAAAGTTTTATTAAGTCAATTTTTAAACGTTTTTAAAAGTTGTTAAGTTGATGGAAATCATAGAATTTCCTAAGATTTTGTAATTTCCATAAACTTAACCTAGTTACCTTATCTACGTTACCTATATAGGTATTTTTGTCCATTTTGTATTATTTTTAGGAACCATTTTGTCAATTGTTATAAATATTTATGTTGATTAATTAACTCTATTAGGTAGTTTAATGTCTTTTTCTTCAGTTTTAGTCAGTTACCCTTTTAAGAGATTAAATGTTAAATGATTACTTCTAAAAGTTGTGATTACGAATATATAAAAAGGTTGTTTATATTGAAAAATTATAGTTAAAATTTTGGTGCAGTCTCTTCAAAATGCGGGAGCGCGCCCCACTCTCCTGAGCGAACTTCTGAAATTGCATCACGTAAGTCAAAAATTATAATTATCAGTCCTGATCTAATCTATATTTTTTCACTTGTAGGTATTTATAGTAAACATTACTTTATATTTTATTTTCATGTTATTTTCAGACCGTACACCAAGCTCGTCGTCAAATATAAGCAACAGTAAACCAAAGTGCCAAAATTTTATAAACACCAATATTGCTCATGTTGTAGACAGTATGTACCTACTTTCTATTTAATATTCTTATTCTACACAGTTTAAAATTTTGAGTTAAAAGAGTTTATATATGTTTTATATATGTGGATAGGAAATATCATTTGATCCTATCGATTAAAAAAAGTACTAGATACACAATGAGCGACATAAAATGTCCTCACCGAATGAGCGCTGATTTGAACATTTGGGCGAGTTTTTCATTTAATTTTTTTTTGTGAAGACAACTTTAACCATGGCGTTTAAGGTTCAATTTACATTGTTGTATATTTATTTCGACTAGAATAATTACCTAAACACAATTGGTGACAGTTATAAGAGAACTTTTGCATGGGATTGTGTATCTAGTACTTTTTTATTCGATGTTTGATCCCTAATTTCTGAGAGGATCAAAAAAATATGAATTTAAAAATTTATACAGAAGCGGCAAAGTACATATTTCTTTACTTTTAAAATGTTCTTGAAGTGAAATCTGCTTTTTAAGTTTTTATTTAACGTAAATATGTATTTTTATTATTTGTACTTAATACATAAGTAGGTACTTGTAAAATTTTGACTCTGTGTGTGTGTATGTGTATATTTATTATTCGTCTTATTTATTGCAGCTCGATCTAAAACATTAAATGAAGCTTCTACTTTGACACTCTCGTATACAAACGCTATGAAAATGTCTAATAATAATAATAAGAACAAAAGTTTTAGTGAAACGAAGAAAAGTCCTTGTACTTTATCAAGTAAGTGAAAAAACCACGATACTTTTAAACACGGCTAAAATAAAATACGTGGACGTTATCTATATATAATACAAGCAATTATATATAATATACTAGCATTGCCCGCGGCTCCGCCCGCGTTCAGATGACCAAAAACCAAATTCTTAGGCTTTACATATTAGTATACTCTTACAATCAAGTTTTTGTATTTTTTCTCAGAAATGAGATATTTTCCCGCGGTAAAAAGTATCCTATATGTTGACCCGGATAACCAGCTATCAACATACCAAATTTCATCAAAATCTGTCCAGTGGTTTTCTCGTGATGCGGTAACAGACAGACAGACAGAAAGACAGACGGATAAAATTTCTCAAAACTATAGATTCGGACTCTGTATCAATAATAATGTCTATTTCAATTAGATTTTCCAAAAAATATTTAATGTACAGATTCGACTTTGTTATAATTTTATTATATGTATAGATTATCTATGTATATATAATATTATATGTATGTATTTTTAATGTAAAATAAGTGCTGAGCGATGCTATCTCGCCATAGTAGGTACCTAAATGTTTTATTTCTTTCAAAATCGCGTCCTTTTTCTATAGGAATAGGTACGTACAAGTATTCCTCTTAATATTTTTAAACTGTATGGCTCCATTTGTTAAAGATGTAAGATATATTTTTGGCCTGTTTGTTCCTAATATGGTGGTTTCGTATGAAATGGAGTTTACCTTAATTGAATTTTAATTATTCAGGCAAAGACGAAAAGGCATCCCCTGTTAAAAGGTCTCGATCACCTATCATGTCACGGAAAGGTATTTTTATGTTAAATTTCGTTTTTATAAACTTATTTTAAATTATTGAAATTTAATATTATTAATTTAAGCGGAGAACCAGAACCTTGTGAGAGCAATTTCAAACAAACGAGATTCAAGTCAGCCAAGATCACGTTAGTATTAGTTTTCGTCTCTTATTTCAATTTTAACTTGGATTTACCTAACTGAAAGTTTTTTCAAAAAAAAAAACAAAAAGTATCTGTAGGTATGTACATTTAAAACAATGAATTTTGCGATATCTATAATAGGATATACATACTGATACTTTGGTATGATTTTTTGTATTAACGCTTAATATTAAAATATGTGCACAAAAAAGTCCCTATGAAAACATTCCCAAAGACCCCTCGACACTCTAGTTGTTGTTTTACTTGCTTGACTTAACTCCTCCAAGACCGCGGACACGCCGGCGTTACAGTTAACAATAGATTTCTTAGAAATTTAATTAATTTCTTAGAAATTGACCTGGAGGTGTTAATAAAGGATGCAAATCAAATTTTATTTCAGTAAACATCTCAGTAATAGATATTGTCTCGAGTATTCTCTACCATTTATTATTTTGGAAGCTCCATCACTTCGTTTCCTGTATCTCTTACTTTCAATGGCAACTACTGATATCAGTAATCGCAGTTGGTTATTTGTTTTGGACAGCGACTAAAACCACATCTGCTAGGGTTAACCCCAACTCGCAGCCAGGATTCAATTTGAGATCCAGTACAAATTCTGCCATGAAGAGTGTCCCTACGATGAAATGTAAGAATATCTTTAGAGTTAAAATTTATATTATTACTAGCGACTCGCCTTCGCTTTGCTCGGATTCGTCTCTAGGTAAGTTTTAACGGTTAGTATGGAATAGATAAACTATATATTTACACGTACATATTTACACAGGATATTCAGATACATCCATGCCTTGGCCGACAAGGTAGTCAAAAATTAAAAAAAAGTAACAAGTAAAATTAAACTTAGTTCAATTATAAACAAAACGATCCTCAACATAATAAAGAAATATTTTATATTAAAAACATACTTGTATCTTTTTTTATATTTTTTAAGAATTAGAAACTATATGATCCTTCGAACCTAACAATTTTATATTACAAATTAAATTCCATTTGTTATACAGCAACAAGACAGCCAAAAACCATTTCCAATTTAAGAAGACAATCTGTAGAAAGAAATGCACCAGGTACTCAATACAATATCATTTTGCAACATGTTGTAGAACTAAACATTACCCTCGTCTTATGTAGATTAGGGAGTTTACGGTGTATTCTAATATCAACTCAATTAGTTGTGTGTTTATAATTTATGTTTAATTAAATCGATAGAACATCCCTACTATGGCCGAGATTTTTTTCAATTTACAAAGATCTTGAATTTGATTTAGAAAGATATTCGCTAACATAAGTTCTTTCAAACATCGAAATTGTTGAGTAAAATTTTATTATAAAACAAATTATGTATTCATTTACCAGGTTTGAAAAGTTTTTCTTCATACACTAAGCTAAAGTCAACTCATGCAGCCTATACATGTGGTACTAGCAGTTGGAATGCGGGTTAATATACCTTAACTTTTTTATTTTACTAATTTCACTTAAAGACTGTTTTAGTATACAGCCCTTTGAATCAGGCCATAGTCCACCGCGATGGTCAAGTGCGGGTTGTCGGTCTTCACGTGCCTTTTTACCACTTGGTTACCACTTCACCACTATTTTTACATACCTACTATAGTTTTTATAATACATATATAATATATTAATCACTCCACGATCGCGGACACGCCGGCGTGTCAGTTAACAATAGATTTCTTAAAATTTTAATTAATTTCTTAGACATTTACCTGGAGGTGTTTAAAAAAAAACTTTTATTTCATTTCCCCTAATTGGACGATTTTCATATTTAATTATAATGTTCTCATCATAAATACTATGGTGCCATATTTAAAAAAAATACCTTTGTTACATTGTAGGAACATCGCCTACAAGAAAGACTATTGGAGAGCGAGTGTCTTTGATACAGAAGAATAATTCAAAAGAAAATATTACTAAAATACAGGGTAATCTGTTTAACATTTTATCATTAAAACTCTCATCTATAAGTACTTTTTAATTTTCTCATCTATAAAGACATTTTTTTTTAAATTTCAGCTAATGTTAAATCTGCTTCGTCATCCCGTGAAAGTTTGACCGATTTAAAGAGGAAATTGGCATTTAACCGAAATACCTTACCAACCAGCTTTAAAAATTGTTAGTTTTTATGCAGCATTAATTTTTATCTTGTAGCGTAACTATTAATGTTCAGTCTGTAGTGACCCTACTTGCTGTGCCAGAGGTCGCGGGTTCGAGTTCCGCTGGTGGCATTAATTTGTGTTATCCTTGTTCCTGTGTGAGTCATGGGTGGTTTATATTTAAAATGTATCTATTTAAAGATATATATGTGTAGTGTATCAACTATCTGGTATCCATAACACAGGCCTCGTAGTTTACCATGGAACTAGATGGTACCCACGTATTTATTTATTTATATTTATTAATTTGACGAAATATAAGATCATAGTGGTGTACTTAATACTTAGTTTAATATCATAATTAATGTTTTTGTTTGTAGTTGTCAACTACAGTAGCAAAAGCTTTAAACCTCAGCTGGAAGATATTAAGAGTTCATACTTGTTATTAAATAAAAAAAATTGTGATAGAAATTTAAGACAAGAGAAAAATGGTATGAACATGAAAATATTTCAGTTCCTAATAATTTTTGTAGTATTTTATTTTCAAATAAATGACAGTTATATACTAAATAATATAATTAATGATTATATTAATATAATTTATTAGACATGTCTCAAGTTTGATCCTGGGCTGAAGTAAAGGTTTCTCAAAAGAGAAATTTTGAATTTCAGCAACTAGTAAAATATCTAAACCTCAACCATTGAGTGAAAAACAAAGGAAACAGAAATTAATGGAAGCCATGCAAAAATACAAGACAAAAAAATATTGGACTGAATCAAGTACCTATGTTTTTTTTAAATTGAAAAGTATCTTTTTTTATAAAATAAAAATAAAATTTATTTTTTAATTTCATTATGCTATGAATAGAATATTTAAAATATTTATGTTGAAAGAAATCATTTAAAAAATTTGCAACCATTTTATTTTTGTTATAATACAATAATTGTTTTATTACAGAATATGACCGAATAGAAGGGCTCAATTGGATATCATGGAAATAAACTGTAATTAGATTTATCTTTATATTTTACTTATATATCAACTGTGACATTACAGTGTTTCCAATTTTATGAGGACTAAGCATAAATAAAAAAAAATTGAAAGTTTTCAGTTTTCTTTTGAACCTGACCCTTTTCCATCTTTATCCTTTTGATCTTTATCATCCTTTTCATCCTTGTCCTTTTTTATAGTAGACATAGCATTTCTAATCGCCTCACTCTGAGGGTCCACACCAGGAAGGTTCTCTAGAACACTTTGAAGAAATGCAGGATCATTCATAACTTCAGCATATTCTTCTGATACATCCATACTTTCCTCGGCCTGTGGGGCATCCTGCTGCATGCTCATTTGCATAGCCAGAGCAATTTGTTCTTCTTCTGATAATTCCATGGCCTCCCTTCCAAGAGACATAGCTAAAGCTCTTTCCATACCAGTATTTGGAGCCTCTCCAGTCTTCCCAGCTTCACCTTCAGTACTAGTTTGCTGACGGCGAGATTCTTCTTCTTGACGTTGTCTCTGCTCTTCCATGGAAACTCTAAGTGCAAGAGCAAGTTCAGGATCTTCATTTGGATCAACGCCGAATTCGAATGGCGACAAACCAGACCCCGATGGACCAGCGCCATCGCCTCCAATGATGGGGCTGGAAATCAAAGCTTCAGACAGTACCACGCAGCCACCAGCCGGCACAGAAACAAGATGACTTCCGCCAGCTGTGCTATCCTTTCCATTAAGAGTATTCACAAACGATGTCAATAGAGGATTATTTTCAGAGTCTTCACCGAATGAGATGACGTCGCAGTTGACTTTTTCCTTCTTCAATCTTTTAGCCAGCTTGACCAGTTCTTTTTCATCTGTATTTATGGGAGAACCCACAAATACAACGATTCGCATTTTATGATTTTTGCCCTGGCGATGTTTAAGTGCTAGGTGTGCAATTCTTATACCAGTCAAGATATTGATGTCTCCATTCGGCTGAACACGGTGGAGTTTAGATAGTATCCGACCAACATCACTTGTTAATGTGGCTAATACTTCCACATTGGCTAAAGTCAATAACCCAACATTATTCTCTGGATTTGTTCTTGTTTTGGAATGACAAACCAAATTAACGGCATCTTGCTGTGCCTGCAATCTTGTTGGAAGAAAATCCCCATTTCTCATATAATCACTATTATCCACACAAATCATAGTACTTTCCAAGACCATTTTGATAGATTTTATTTATTTATATTGTAAATTAATAAATTTCTGAAATATCACAATCACGGAGAATGAAATTTGCTAAATAATTATAGCCACAGACTCAAAATTAATTATTAATAAACCACAGATTATAATTGTATAATATCTAAGCTGCCAGTAAATGTCATTGCACTTAATATGTTTTATATAAAATAAAGTAACTATTTGAAAATCTTCAATTAAATGTACATGTACTAAATAAACTACGTTGTAAAAAAATATTTGCATACTTTTGCCTTTAGGAAATCGATTTAAGTTTGAGTATATAATTTTCAGTATTTTGTATCTGTGACCATAATCATCTGTGTAGTTTTGTGCTGCCGTAAATTTTACTCGCACTGTGAAAAATTCGGTGCAAATCAGAGTAATCATGGCTATTGGTGATTATCCCAAAGAATACAACCCTGCGGTTCATGGGCCTTACGACCCAGCCCGGTACTATGGAAAGCGTAAGTATTAAAACTAATTTCAATGAATTCGCTACCTAAGGTTCGATTATGTAATTTTGTCTTGTTTTCAGCTGATACTCCATTTGGACAGGTGAAGCTCAGTGAAATTGGATCATGGCTTGGACGTAGGAACAAGACACCTTCAGCAATAGGAGGAGCTTTTAGCCGAGGTACATATTTAATTTTTTATTATTTCAAGGTTATGATTTCTTTGGATACCCTTTATGTTATAACCTAATGAATATTTTTATGGGCTAATCACAAATTTTGTGATAATTTCTTTTTATTTTGTAGCTTGGTGGAGGTGGCAGCACAAGTATATGCAGCCCAAGAAAGTTGGAATTGCTCCATTCTTTCAACTGCTCGTTGGATCAATGACTTTCTTCTATGTTATCAACTATGGCAAAATTAGTAAGTTATAAAATATCAATTTCATAAAAATTTATAAAAAACAACTTGTTTATTCTTGTTTAAATAATCATATATCAATCAAACAAATCAATAATATTGTTATTACTAGATATTCTCAATCTTTTTATTATACTCTAATATATTAGAATTCAACTTCTAAATCAGGATTTCTACATTATATTATGAATATTTTGCATTTTTTTTATTTCAGAACACCACAGGAACTACAAGTACCACTAATCTATACATGATGCTGTTACATGCAATGTTTAATTTATGTTTGGTTAAAATACAAGTATGAATCCATTCTAGATTGCATTCACTAAATAAAATAATTCTATTAGTTCAAACCTATAGTATTTTTTCTTTCCCTTATTTATTAAAGCCTCATTGTGGAGCCCATAATTTTTTATAGATATTTCTTCTAACATATTGGGCTTCACATTATAATTAAAATTGTAACTTTATTTTGATTTAACATAAAATTTGGTAAAATAGTAGATTCAACATAAAATTAGGTAATTAGGTAAAATAGTTTATTATTTAATTAATCTTTAATGCCTTAAAGATGAAATTTGTTTTGAGTCTAAAGATTATATTGATTTTGACAAGTTCCTACACATTTTATTACTTTTCAATAAACAAAGCTAGTGGAAAAGTAGTATTATAAAATACTGATCATTTAAAGATGTGCAATAAAGTTTTTCTAAATTAACATGTGACCATTTTATTTTCCTAATTGTTTTGGCTAAAACATTGTCATAATATAAAAAGTAAAATTGGTTTTCAACTTCAGATTCAGATTTGTTCAGTTGAAAATGACAAAACTATTAAAACTGACCATTTTATATTTTTATATCCAAACATGTAAATTTTATTGTAAATATATAAGTTTATTGTTAACACCTCCAGGTAAATATCGAAGAAATTAATTAAAATTTTAAGAAATCTATTGTTTATCTGACATGCCAGCATGTCCATGGTCATGAAGGGATTAATATTTACTGATGTTTTAACCCTTTAACACATTATTTTAATATAAATAGTATTTAAATAAAACTAGAGCTTTTAAAAAATATTTACTTAATTACAATAATTTATGCTACCATAAATGCAAACACACATGAGTACACCCACAGAATCAAAATTTCATTTGGACTTCTTCTGCTGACATACACTCGCTCAAATGAGGTATCACATGTCCATATTATTTACTGAAAATAAAAGACATTTAACATTTTTAACAAAATAGTACCTACATAACAATTTCTAAATAATAATAATATGTAATAAAATAGTTTTTATTTTAATAATATGAAGCAGAATACTTAACTACTTATGAAGCAGAATATAAAAATAAACTTTTATTGACTATAACACAATGTAATGTTATATCATTTTTGAGTTTATATAACAATCAAAAGTCCTTACCTATTATTGGAATAGGCCTATTACAAATCAGATCTACCCATATATTTAGGTTTTAATTCTTCTATCCTTTTGATGAAGTCAGTCTTTTCGATGCAACCATCACATACCTCATCCCAATCATTAAGAATTTTTTTCAAATCTCTGACCTTTAGCTTCTTAAGGTCCACATTATTTAAATCAATCTGCTTATCAAACCTGAGATCACAAATCTGTGCATCTTTCTTCCTTAACTTTTCACAAATTTTGTCAGCAGGCATTGACCAACTCAGAGGTTTTGAGAGCTCTCCTAGTATGCCGGTTGCTGACTCTTCCAAGCCTCCTAAATAGTAGCAGAACCGATTTTCCTTGTTCTTAGAAACCTTGCAGAATTTTTTAAACTCTGCTTCAATTAATTTCGGATCTTTTTTAACGGTATCTGTTAACGTGGCTGCGAATTTTTCTATAGTTTTCACACAAACTTCACATTCGCCTTCTTTTAATGCTAAAGCTATTTGCAGCACAGCTGCTAATAATAATAAATAAAAAATAGTAAATTTACACATGTTAAATAAGTTTTGATTCAATAATTATAAAATATTCAACTTTATACAGACGTGAAGTACTCTTGAAATTGTAAAATTAAAATGAAATGCTAGAAGAGTCTCGTCCATTTAATTTAAGACGTTGACAGCTTTACTTGGCGAATGATGATTGGTGCACGTTTTCTTACACGTTTGGTTTCATCAAGCATCAAAAAAAAATTATATATATTAATGGAATTTATGACGTTATTATAATATTGCGGAAATCGTAAAGACTACACTACTCACTACTGTCTGCTGATTTTAAATATTTATTGAAAATTTCGTTTAAAAATGTTAATATTGCACATGGTAATTTTAGGTTATGGAAGGTAGAAGTTAACAGGCACTTGCCACATTGTTGTATAATCTGTGGTTGTCATGGAAACTTGCAGTTGTTTGTCACTATGCAAATAAAGTAATATTTTTTTCATTATTAGGTCGATAAAATATTCAACAAATTTATGCTTTCAAGTAAAAATGTCTGAATCAAAATCTAAACTCCAAGATAATCCCCGCGGTGTATTGGAGCAACACATAACCGCACTTCAAAGTGAATCAAAAATTGATCGAAGACAAGCTTTAGTGAAAATAAATGAAGAAATATTCAATAATCCTGATAACGAAGGCTGCGATTTGACTGTAGTTTTTCCTGAAATCTATGCTTATATATTAAAAAGTTTTTCAGACACTTCAGAGTCATGTCGAGAAAATGCAATAATAATAACGTCCAATTTTATACAACGCTTACCATTAAATGATTATTATTTAACTTATATACTCCCTGTCATTGTCCGTCGTATTGGTTGCCCAGAAATAATAGAAGAATCGGAAGAAATTCGCCTCATTCTAATTGAGCTTGTGCATAAAATTCTGCTTAAGTACAAAGGAACACATCTACTCAGTTCATTTATTAATGACTTTACAAGCATCCTGACAAAGACTAGTACCGATCCATTTCCGAAAGTGAAGTTAGAAGCATGTGAATGCATCATTTTACTAACTAAAATACTGCAGAGAGATTTTCATTTCCAATCAGAAAGTTACGTGAAACCACTATTGTCCAACTTTGCTCACCAACATTTTAGAGTGAGGGTTGCAGCTGTAAGAGCTATTGGTAATGTATATGTACTGAATAATAATAATAAATTTAGTCAAGATACTATTTAATTATGAATTTTATTTTGAAATTTTTATTAAATTTAAAAAGGTGATTTGTTAAATCATTTTATCTCTAGGCGCTGTAGTGTTAGCAGGAAATGTGAAATGTTTTGAGCTGTCCATCACTCCAATGGCAGAGAAACTATTTGATGAGAACACTCAAGTAAGGCTGCAAGTGACTATGGAAGTTGGCAATTGGATGCTGTGTTATAGAGACCGCTACTCATTCTGGCATCGTATGATACCGCTTCTGCTTACTAGGTAATGCTTATTACTTCTGTTGAGGTACATCCAATCTACAGCTCATAAATGATTTTTCAAATTTTGGATCGTTTACGAACACATATAGAAAGAGAGAGTGTTGGCAGTTGCAAGGTGGGGGTTAGAATCAGCCCCCCGGTATACTGAATTACTGTGTAGAAATGGACCACCTTGCTCATAAATGATAAAACTTAATTCAGCTATTGGACTATCCAGTAAAAACTTTTTTGCTTTTCCTACTACTACTACTTTTTAGCGGGAGATGATCTCCTTTCCATGGGAAAACACGTTATAATACAACCCAAAAAATATTTGTGATCAGAATTACTTCAAACTTGGTATTAATGCTCTTCAATATAATTAAATAAATAATCCCATAAGGGGGTAAAATAGGGGATGAAAGTTTGTATGAAATCTGCCTTTATAGAGTTTATTTTAATAGTTTTAGCGCGAGTGAAGCCGAGGGTGTTGCTAGTCTTATATAACTCTCACCTGCTTCTATGAATCATTGAAACTTCTGCTAAAATCTATTAGTTCAATACTTTTAATAGTTTTTTAGCTTTTGTGCAAGAAACACATGAGCGCAGTATTATAAAGCTATTTTCTTTATTCACACTTTGACTTTATAGACCTGCCTTTATTTAGTTTCCCTTGGAATTGTGCAATTAAATCTTGGAATTTGGAAGTTGATTTCAACCAACTTCACAATGTATCATTCATATGAAATTTTGTACTTACTTACAAAATCCCACCCAGTCCCAACTCTCAGAGGAATTCTTCATCGGCTGTTTCTAAAACTTTTATACTAAGGCTCCTTTTATACTTTAACAGAAAAAAAGCAGTTTTTTTTAAAACAATAATTAAATATATATAATCATGGTCGATTGGTTATATGTTACAACTTCTATTTTCAGTTTAAGCGATATAATGGCAGATATTAGAGAAGCAGCAACCGAAGTCTGGGATGACATTGGGCTTCAATACATGGAGGAGAATGAAGAAGATCTGAAAAAGAAATCGGACTTTCTCAAAGATGTTCCATCCCACTATCCAGATGTGAAACGACCCAATCTTGGATGCAGGACTTTAGTGCAAAGTAATATTGGAAAAATTGTACCAGCCATTAGTCGAGGTAAAGCCATGAAATTTCTTTACAATTTTTATAGTACAATTGAATAAACTATAATATTCCTTTAGTACTTATCTTCTTCTCTTTTTCTTCTATGTTCTATATAAATAAAAATGAATCACCATAATGTATGTACGGGCATAACTTCCGATCGACTGCACCAAGTTGGATAATTCTAAATTCTTTTTTTTTTGTAGTTGTTATTGTCAGGACAAGCTTTGTATAGAAGAAAATTAAAAGAAATTATTTTAAGGATTTTTTTTTATTTATATAAGAATTTTTTTTAAATTTCATGATATGAAAAGTTAGTGAGTGAAATAGTTTTTACCCCGGAAATCATCCCCTAAGGGGAATGGGGACGAAAGTCTGTATGGGGAAGCAAGCTAGGGACGAACCCAAGCGAAGCGAGGGTGAGTCGCTAGTAATAAAATAATATCATGTTCATTGCAAAGAACCTAATAAATTATATAGTTAAATAAGTGTAAATGTTGGATATACTAATTCTATTAACTATGTCGTCGGACTTCTTCATTTGTTAGCATGTTGGGCTGCTGATGTCGAGCTTCTGGGTTTGAATTGTAGTTTTGGGAAAGTATTATTATTGGGGTTTTCTGACAAAGCGATTCTTAGTATTAGTACTGCCATGTCTCGGTTAAGCCGTCATAATGTAATGTTATGTTGAATTGTCGCCCCAACGGATGATTACAATTGATTAAATTGAGTAATAAAGGAATAGGGTCTAGGGAGTGCATTTGTGGCTTGCACAGACACTTATGTATTCTGACAGAAATCGGTAAAAAACCATCTTTTTTTTTTTGGTATTATAAATGACACTTTATGACGTAATTACTTCGCATTGAGATAAAATCTCATGTTATTTACGAAATGAATGAAATATACACAAATTCCAAAATGTTTACTTTCATAAAGAGATGGAAGGCTGGCAGGCGGACCCGAGGCTTCGTTGCGCGCAGCTCTTGTGTTGGTTGCTACTGTGCTCGGAAGATGGTTGCACTCAACATGCCAATACAATTGTTAGGACTTTACACCGAGGAGCGTCTGATGATGACCAGAGAGTGGTACTCGAGGTGAGTTTAGTTTGTTCGATTCAGCTGAAACACGTCCACTGTTGGATATAGGCCTCCCCCAAAGATTTTCTAGACTGCCGGTCTTGTGCCATCCGATTCCATAGGGCTCCAGCGACTCTGACCAAGCCATCGGTCTACCTTGTGGGAGGCTTCAAGCCTGCCCACACTTCGCCTTCCGGTACGTAGCCGCCACTCGAGAACTCTTCACCTCCAAAAACTATCCATTCTTCGAGCGATGTGCACCGCCCACTGCCACTTGAGCTTGGAGATTTGGCTGCTATAGCGGTGACCTTGGTCCTTCTGCGTTTCTGATTTGATCGGCGTTAAGTTTAGTGAAGTACTGAAAATATGTCTATTGTTGTCATAACACGGTTTTTTAAATTTCATTTCATATTATGTAATTAAATCTTGGAAAAATAATTTAATACTATCGAGTTGATAATAATTGAACCAATATATAAAAGTGGAACTTTTCAAAGTCTATAACTCAATAGGGTACTTTATTGTTTTTTTTAAATGATAAACTTTCGTTATAATAACGAGATGTGATATATAATTTTCCTCAGATTAAACGTGCATCAGAATTGTTTGGTTATTTCATAACACCAGACACATGGTGGCCATTGTTGGAAGCTGAAGTGGATTCTTGGAGCGCCCTCTTCGTTATTACAAACATTCTCAAGGGATCTCGTGCTGAGTTAGTTAAAGAGAAGGTCATGGTCGAACTTTGTAAGGAACTCTCTGATCCGGATAGATGTAGAATTAGAAAGGTGAGTTTTGTGTATATATTTTAGAGTTAGTAATGTTTTTTTTTTAATTAAAATGTATAATTCATTGTCTTTTAGTGTTGGCCCATTCATTGTTTTATTGTAAACTAGCGAGTCACCCTCGCCCCGATGGAGTCGTCGCTAGTTACGTTTTAACTTTTAGAATAAATTTCTTAGAGATGAGATATTTTCCCATAGTAAAAAGTGTCCTATATGTTGACACGGATAACCAGCTATCATCATACCAAATTTCATCAAAATCTCTTCAGTTGTTTTTTCGTGATGCGGTTACAGACATACAGATAGATAGACAGACAAAAATTCTAAAAACTATAGATTCGGCTTCTGTGTCGATAATAATGACTATGTCAATAATTTAATGATTTTCAAAAAAAATATTTAATCTACAGATTCGACTCAGAATTTTATTATATGTATATAGATTGTATTGAAAAAAATTTTGATTGACAAATGAAAAGCTATTATTTTGACATTACAAACAGACACTTCAATTTTATTTATTTGTGTAGATTAAAATATAATTAATTAAATCTCCATTGTATTATTTAAGCCAAAATATCAAACAAACATGCTGCTCGTAACTGAAGCGTTGATGGACCTGTGCAAGGAGGATTGTAAGGCAGTGGCGGAACAACTGTTCATTATCAATTTTACAATCTACGCTATGCCTTATGATGATAAAATGCAATTTATGGCGTTATGTAAGTATTTAATTATTTATTTCTATATAATATAGATTTTTTTTAAATATACATAGCAAGGCAGTGGTAGCGAAGTGGTAACGCGCTCTTTTGGGAAACCGAGTGAATCGGGTTCGAATCCCGGGTCTCGCACTTCTGATATTTTCATGTGTGAATTATTTCTAACATGATTACCACTTGTTTTACGGTGAAGGAAAACATCGTGCATGCATTGCATGAGAAAACCTAGCAAGTTTTCGAAAGACATGTGAAGTCCGCCAACCCGCACTTGGCCAGCGTCGTGGATAATGGCCTGATCCCTCGTATTGAAGGGAGGCCCGTGCCCAGCAGTGGGACATTAAAAAGGGCTGAATACAAATATACATGCGTTTTAATATAAATTAACGGCTTGATTTGTGTTCTATAAGAATACAAAAATTCAAAAAGCATAAAATTTAAAAAGTTATTTTATATTTTCAGAAAAATATTCTATAGAATAACTGATAGAATTTTAAATATTAGGTTGTAGATGAATAACTGATAAATTTTGATATATTTGGTGTGCACGACTTCATTTATCGTATTCAGACACGTTTTTTTCCTTTTAAAATAATTTTAATTAAATTATTATGTTATTCAATACAAAAGGATCATGAAAATCGGTTCACACAATAGGGAATATGCGTGTGATTTAAATGAAAATGAAATATATTTTTTTGTATTTTCTTTATTGCTTTTAAATGAAGCCTATATCCATATTTTTTACTGTAATTTCGGATTGATTAAGAAAGTGATTATTAAAAAGTGCTAATATAGGTGGGAAAATCAAAGTACTTGGAACACAAGACCATTTGTCAGACCGAATATGAGGTCAAAGTATTGTCTTATCAGAGCGATTAGCGATTTTGTCGCCACAAATTGAGTTGTCATTTTTCTGTGTATATCATACTGTAACGTCACGCCAAGCGCGCGAAATTGCGGGCGTTTATAGTATCCGTATTGGTATAATATTTAATATATATATATTTATTTATTTAGTTTTTTGAAGCTGGATATTTTTTCACAATTATATTATAATGATGTTTGCTATTGTATAATTAAAAAAACACTATTGGTAAAAATACCAGGAAACAATTACATAAAAAGTAAAAACACGTACAAGAGTTTATTATCGCCTCTATTTTCGAAATCGGTCAACAATATCTCATCGTTTTCAGCAAATTTAGACAAGCTCCGGTCGATAGAAAAGTGCGGTCGAACTCTTACATCGTTGTATGAGATCCACATACGACGAGTACTATCGGACATCACTAGTGATGCGCTTACTTGGTCCATGTTGACGCCTGACAGGTGCCTGTTGGAGTGTGTTCTGATACATTCTGGTGAGTATTTTACTGTTGACAGAAGGAGCAGGTTTTTTTTTTAATGTGAAACATCTATTGGTGCGTCTTGGCACTAAAACCGATTCGTGGTGTGACACCATCGTGACTGACTATCACGCCGTCACACTGCCCTCGACTCCCTTGCGTGAGCGCGCGCGTATACTGTTCACGCGCTTTTAAAATAGTTTCTATTAAAAATACCTACATATTTTCTATCGTATTTATGAATATTTGTATTCTATAATTATTATTATAATATTAAGAAAAATAAATTGATTTTATTAACGAAACTCTATTTTTACTTTATTTTACTCTATATTTTATTGTAGTTTTTTATTAATTATAAATTCTAAAATTAACATAGATGTTTCACATATGCCGGACGTCCTGTGACGGCCAACTTTTTATCTTTTTAAAAATGATAACAACTATTGTTTTAAAAAAAATCATCGCCTACCAATGCTTTGTAGGACTGTACCTCTATATTTAAAGTAAATGTAAAGTATGGGTACATGAAATCTTTATGTCAATGACCGTTTATCGAGTGTAGTACTTTTATTATATTCTATAGCATTATTATCAAATATGTACAACGAACTGGGTCGGTGGTCCAATGGCGAACATGTACGGCGTGAGGTCTTGAGTTCGACTCCTAGGCCGGGCTAAGTTTAGTTATTGAATTTTTCTGTTAAGAAATTCTTAGTAATAATCCGAAATTGGCAAATTATTGTAGTTTGCCTCCCGCGCTTCGAAGAGTATTTATTGTGTCGGTTCTGCGCCTGATCTTTCGCTGGTCCTCTCGAATAGTTGTTTCGCTGGAGTATGAGAGTGACAGGAATAGAGAGTGCACTTGTGCTTGCGCTCATATACACTGCACTATATATTATAATATCTCCTGCGCAGATGGCTACTCTAATTGAGATTGGTCACCGTGGCCGATATTGCTCAGGAAAACTTATTAGTATTATAATACTTTCTTAGATTTACGCGAATGTTTGACATTATTAAATAAAACTATCTTTTCGGATTACGGAGTCACGGGAGAGTCTCTCCCGTGACCATGATTGCTGTAAAGCATTCGAAACGTCGGGAACCAAAAATCAAAATAAATCCGCGAAATAATCCGAAAAGATAGTTTTATTTATTAGTATTATTTGTATATGAAACAAAATTACTTAACAAATGAGATACTATATTAACTTTCACTTAACTCTTACAGGCTCGGCAATTGGAGCTCAGTTACATTTAATAGCGCCATTATTAAAAGAATGCTTGGCCCCGCCCAAAGTGGACGCGGAGGTGAAACTCAAAATATTCACCGTGCTATCAACAGTATTACTGAAAAGACAAACGAATTTCAGCAAGAGTGAATCTGAAAATTTGGAGGCTTTCTTGAAGATTGTAATAAATGGTATGTTTTTCGTATATTTATATTTTATATTATTATAAATTTGATAATGTATCGTATGGAATATTGATTTTTTGTGTTGTGATTTAATATAAGATAATTTTATGAGCTGGGAATATAATTTAATATTTATTTGCCTTTTTTTTCTAGTACAGTTCACTTTTTACAGTTATTTTATTTAGTACATATAATAAACCCAAAAATATTTGTTTAAATCGTATATTGGATTTCTTAAAACCTAATATTGAACCTAGTCTAGTCTAACACAGATACGTACAGGCCGTAATGTGTATACGCGATGACATCGGATTACTTATATAAATACGAATCTTTGTATGTTATCGTATGTTTGTTACTCTTGCACGCTTAAACTGCTGGACGAATTTAGATTAAACTTAGTACGCAAATCGAATATGACCTAGAGGCTAGAGGATATAGACTAAGTACTGTTAGACATCTAGAGATGCCCCGCGAAGAGAAGATAAATCGTTAGTACTTTAGTTAGGTGAAAGCAGGTTTGTGGTAACCCAATGGTAACGTTCTCGCTTGGGGAATCGAGTGAAGCGGGTTCAAATCCCGGGTCTCGCACCTCTGATATTTTCATGTGCGAATAATTTCTAACATAATTACCACTTACCTTACGGTGAAGCAAAGCTTCGTGAGGAAGCCTGCATGTCTGAGAGAACATAGCAAGTTTTCGAAAGACATGTGAAGTCCGCCAACCCGTACTTGGCCAGCGTGGTGGAATATGGCCTGATCCCTTTCCCATAGAAGGGACGCCCGTGCCTAGCAGTGGGACGTTAAAAAGGATTGAATACAAGTTTAATTATTATGTTTATTGGTTTTCTAGATATAATAATGCCTAACCTAGTCTGGTCCCCCGGTCGCACCGCCGAGGCGATCCGTACAGCGGCCGTGGCCTGCCTCTGTTCCGCGTTGCAAGAGAACCCTGAGAACTATGAAGTCACAGTTGAAAAGGGATCCGATGGAGATAATAAGGATGAGGTATTAAATATTATAAATATTGATGAAGTTAACTGTACTTGAAATACCCCGAAATTAATTGTAAGTATAGAAATGTAATTAATGTGTTTATTAAGAATCAGGACCATGGACTAGGAATATGCGTGATTTTTTTTATTTTTTACACAATATCTTATACTAACGTATTAAGTATATAGTTTTTTAAAAAATATCCAACTCGGAATAACTAAAATTTAGTATAAAAAAAAACTTAAAAAATATCATACTGAGACGAATATGTACTTTAAACGGCCGTCATTTTATGTCATAGTATATCATACACAAATATTAATATAGGCTTAATTCAGAAGCAATAAAGATAATAAAAAAAATATTTCATCTTTATTTAAATCACACGCATGTTCAAAAAGTACGTAACTCGTAAGTGACGTCAAACCAAAGAATAAAACTCAAAAATCGTAAGGTCTGATTGTGTTAACATAAATTCGAAGTTACCCTAATGAAAACAACGTGCGTTATGTCACGCTTTTAAACTTGTCTTTCGAAAAGTAATGGCTATCGGGAGTCAGGCAGAATCAAAGCTACATATGTAGAGTGCTTGTTATATTTATTTTATTTTCTATATATTAGCAATGGAGACTGAGAAAAAGGCACAATTTCGAATTGTGCGCTTTTTTTGAGGACACTTGAAACGTTGACGGTGTTGTTTTACCTTGAGTTTTTGTATATATATATATATATACAAAAACTATAACATTTTGTTTTCCAGAAAGTAAACCTTTTTCCTACAAAGGAGTCTTTGGAACCCTTCTTAGACCAGATGGTTCCACTGTTAGTGGGATTGACGGACGATAACTCCACTTTGACAAGACAGCACACGTTGCGAGCTATATGCTGTCTCGCGACTTTGTCTAAACAACGAGGTTGTTTTACTGTAGATATATTGCACAAATTATATTTTGGTAAGTTTTTTAAATTTAAGTAATTACCAAATAGTTTTTATTCACTCATCAAATACCTTTACTTTTACCTTTCTTTCTTTCTCATATTATCGGATTAATCATATAAAATATGTAAAAGTTTGTGTAACTTTGTGTTATTCCTTTCAGCTGTAACGGCTGGAATAATTTGATTTTTTTTAATGCACAGATAGACTATAACATATAGGCTATTCGGGCAGGACGCATTTGTCGCTAAAACTTAAATTTTAAACACCCTATTATCCCACAAACCCATAATATCTCATAAATATTATAAACGCGAAAGTTGGATGTCTGTTACTCAGTCACGCCAGAACGGCTGAACGGACCTGGATGAAATTTGGATAGAGATAGATTTTATTGTCTGGAATGTTACTTTTATCGTGGAAAAATGTACGGTTCCCGTGGGATATCCATACTCCTTATTTATAAATCCAGTGACTCTCAAACCACATTACAGTATCAACAAATTTTCAAACTTCTAATAATCTATAAATTCCAGTGGTTCTCAAACGTCTAGACGACAGCAGCGACAAGGTCCGCTCTATCGCAGTAGAAACCCTCTGCACGCTGTTCCAATGCCGGCCGCAGTATGACACGGCGGTGTTCAACGCGCACATAGACGCGTTGTACAGCGCCATGTTGGTGCATCTGGACGATGCTGATGAGGGATTCAGGAAGGAAATGCTGGGTATATAAATATTTGAATTGGTTGCTGTAAAGCATTGGCGGGAACATCTAACTGTACAGCCAATGAGGATAAAGCCTTAACGGCATTGCTAACGTTCCGCCATTTTTTTTCTACATTTGCGGCAAGCTATGATAAATTTTATATGGATAGAAGATATTTAAGAAATCATAAAATTATCGACCAATTTTATTTGAATGTAAAGATTGTCATGTATGAAATGATTAACGTTTCATTATTCTGACAAAAGATTTTTTAGTATGCTGTTGGTGCGACGTTCTTTTAAGATATTACCATCTTCATGAATTAAGTAGACTACTAAGCAGTTGTGTTCTTTTCTAATTTTTATTTATTTATTCCAGATGCTTTGATCAAACTCAGTGAAATAGACCCAAGACTTTTAATGAAGAAGGTTAAATCCAACATCCACCTCTACAGAAATAAAGCTGCTTATGAACGACTGTCAAGTCATATTGAAAAGATTATTGAATAGATTACAGTATATACAACATTTTTAGTCACTACATTAAAAATGACGTGAATATGTACCTTTATTTTTTTCAGTTAAACTAATATTGTTCATTTGTGGCTAATTCGTTTTCAGAGTTTTTACAAAGGCCATTGTTGAAGAGAGGATATTAAGTTAAAGTTATTAGTATAATAAAGGAATTTTATCATCATACTTTTTTATTTATTTCCTATTGTCTGATATATAGTTCAAACTATTATATTAATCATGAATATGTATGTAAAGTGTGGTGGCGTAAGAGGTGTGATCATATGAAGTGAAATTATTATTAATTACGCCGTCAGTTTTTATTTAAATAGTGACTTGAGTAAATAGTTGGCATTAAATATATTTCTTAAATTTCTTTGTATTTTTTTTCGACGTTAGTGAACTCCTTGCACCCTCCTCTCGACGCCCATGAGCTAGCCTTAGCGCCCATTTTCTACTAATGTATACTAGTAGTAGCAATTTTTTTTCTTTCAACACTGTACGTAGTGCCCTCTGCTGGTGAATTTGAAAACTAATTCACGTTCCAATTAAGCAATAGCACACTAAGCTCTTTGGCATTGTGCGCCAAAGTGCGGCATTGTGCTCTGTAATTGGAAAACAGGGACCGTTGCAGGTATACATCTATGGTATCGACATTCGTCATAATAAACAATATTATACAATAACAATAATATAACAATATACAATAATAAACAAAATAAATAATTTGTGGAATTGGCCCATAGAGTAAATTTTTTCAGTTTTCTGATTTCTCTAATACTTGTGTCTTGTACTAGTGTTCGTTTCGCATCGATGTGATCTCATGTTTCGATACTATCGAGGTTTTTTTGTAAGCAATCGATAGCCTCTCGATAGTATCGATAGTTTTTGAATTTCCATCAATGTCATTAGTTTTCATCTGACACAAACAGCTCTTTTCCGAGCTAACTTTTCAGTATTTGGTGAAACATCGAGTGTAGCTACACCACCATTCTATTGGACATTCAACAATTTTTAATTTCTAATTGAAAACAAAAAAGATTTTATACCTATCGTTATTAGTTTTTTTTTCAATTTGATATTATGTATAATTGAAAAAAAAACGAATTCACGATGTTTTTTTGTGATAAATGATTTTAGTTCAGTATGTAGAAAACATAGCAAGTAAAATAATCTGAAGTAGGTTGCCAAAACTAACAAGCCTAAAATCTTTCATTGTTTAATATTTTGTTTAAAATTAATACTATTTCAAAAAGGTGACATTACGATACCTCGATATAAAAAAAAAACGATAGTTTCGATAGACCAAAAACATCGATAGAACAATCGATGCTTAACGAACAGTGTACAATGTACATACAGGTACACTATCTTGTACTTACTTAGTCTGTGAAAGGAAGTTCGCGTTGATTACACGCTTGTTTGTGCAGACTGCATAATAATATTTACAATCATAATATTATTATATTAGAAATAGCGTATTCATGTTGTTAAAATATCTCTAAACTACTAAAAATGGAAGTTACTAGGAAAAGTGAGTTGGTTACAATTGAATACGACAAATTTTGATATAAAGGACCTGTAAAAAAATGTTTCTTCTTTTTTCAGATTTTAAAGAGGCATTACCTCTAGTTGTAGAATCTATAGACAAAGCTGATTTCTTAGTTATTGATACAGAGTTCACTGGTTTAATAAATGGCAGGGATGTGTCTATGTTCGATTCCCCACAGGAATACTATAGTACATTGCTGCATGGATCTACTGACTTTTTATTAATACAGTATGGTCTATGCGCTTTCTATTGGAATGATAAAGAAAAACATTATATGAATGATGCTTATAACTTTTACTTATTCCCGCGTGGACGTCCTGGTCTAGAAAAAACGTTTTTGTGTCAAAGTTCCAGCTTAGACTTCTTAGCTTCCCAGGGTTTTGATTTTAACAAACTTATAAAAGAAGGTAAATATTATAATTTTACAACTTACAATAATATTTATATTGGTTTAAAATAACAATTAATTTAATTTTAAAGGTATATCATACATGACAGAGCCTACTGAATCAAAGCTGCGAGAAAACTTAGCGGAAAAGCAAAGTAGGAGTAATAATGAAAAGGATACTATAACTATTCCCCCTGAAAATAAACCCCAAATTGAGGCTATATGGTGAGAAATATTCATACTTTATTTTTTGTAAATAATATGTCAACAAAAGGGAAGAGATACAAGTAAAACACATTAATGATGTGAGGCAGGTGAGGCACTGAGCAATAAAGACTGGCTGCTAAATATATAAAATTTTTATAATAAACTGTGTATTATTTAGTGTTTTGTAAGAGATTGTATTTATTTGAATTTTATATTGAAATTTCAGCCAAGATGTTAGAACATTTCTAGATGAAAATAAATCAGATGAGATGGAGATAGACCGTTGTAATGGATTCATTAGAAGGCTGCTATTCCAAGAGCTTGGTCTGAGATTCAAAGATGAGGCATTTGTTGAAACTAAGGTTTTAGAGAACAAGGATAGGTAAGTGTGGTGAAATTTAATTAATTTTTATAAAACATACATTAAAATACTCTTGAAAATGCATACTTTGGTAAACGGTAAGCATTTAAGTGTTAAAATTTTTAAGTAAATAAGGTGAACAATTTTTTTTGTTTAATAAGTAATTATAATATCAAATAAATATTGTCACATTTGAATAGTTTTATTATATAATAATACTAGAAATTTACCCTTGTTAAGTGCCTTACAGTAGCCTATGTGGTATTCTAGGTTGTCTAAACAGATAAAAAAATAGCAAGTGACTGTTTGTAATGTACCTTTGTATATGCCTTTTACTAAATGCATAGAAAATTACATATGATACTTATAAGATAAACACAATTTTTAACATTTTTATCTGTCTGTTTGTTCTGGCTAATCTCCAAAATGGCTGGAAAATTTTGACAAGACTTTCACCAGTTTCAGTATGATATTATAGGGAGTAATTTAGGCTACTTTTATTTTAGGAAAAGAATTGGAGTTTCACTCAAAAATAAAAAAAATTACCTACAGATGCACCTAAGAGAAGCGAAGTTGTTGAGAAGTCCATATTATGTTTAATAAATTACATCGAAATCTGTCTAGCTACTTCAGAAAAAATACACACACATATACATACAAACTTTTGCATGTATACCATTTTTCAAATATATCATTGCGATAGTAGTACATAATCCAATAATATAATATCCAACAATTGTAATAAATAAATAATAGGAGCATTGCGATTTATAAGAATCATGTTTTAAATAGGGTTTTGAAAGTGACAAGGATAAAATCTGCTAACGATAGCAAGTCAAAAGATGCCAAGAGAAAGGAGAAAGAATGGGAGGAATTTGAAGAAGCAGTTGGGTTCTCAAGGGTTGCTAGGATGATCAGCCAATCAGTAAGACACTTTTATTTTATTAAATATACATTTTAACCAACTTCACAAAACCGGAGGTTCTCAATTTGGATGCTTTTTTATTGTGAATTGTTTTAAGTTTTTAGAACAAAAGACCATCTCCAAATTGGATAGATTAATTACTTTTAAGGTTATCTTGAACTTAGTGCAATATTTTAGTCAATAAATTAAAGATTTTATGCAAATATAAGAAAATAATGACTATTTCTTAAATTTTAATAAGCCAAATAATAATTATATGATATTGTTTTAGGAGAAGCTAGTGATAGGTCACAACATGCTGTTGGACCTACTGCATACACTCACACACTTTTTCCAGCCACTGCCCTCAGATTATGCATCCTTCAAAGAGTTTGCGCATTGCATGTTTCCCAGGTTTGTTAATTTTTTTTAATAAATATATAAAAATTTAAAGTTATTATTTATCACATTTTTATTGTATATTTATATTACTTTCATATCTAATTTGAAATGATCTTCATATAGAAGTTATAGTAAAAGTATTTTATCAGTCTTTTCAATGTTATACCATAGGGTCTCATCATGAACAAAGAAAAATTAGTTCAAATTAATGTCAATAGATGATGTTACTTGTATCGATTTGTTATTAAAGTTGTGTTAAAATAACAAAAGATAAAAAAATAGATCCCAAAAAAGTGTATTATTGTTTTAAAAAATATTCTAAGTCAAGGTAAAAGAAATTATATGCCCGTAAATGTGTGCGTAATTTTACTGATTATTGAAATAATATATATATTCATAGATGGCGTTTTTACATTTTATAAATTCTTAATCACGGTTAAAAATGGTTAAAATCACTGAATTCTTTTTATTCGCAGAACGAATTTTACAATATTTACTGCTCATTAGTTTGCACATATTTATAAAATGTGTTTAGCAACATCAACAGTTTAACTATTTGTGAATCAACGACATCTATTATCTATTCAAGCAAACAAAAATAGCCCGAAGAATAGCCCGAATTGGCGCTGTATAATTTCTTTGTATGGGATGAGGCATCTGTACTAGTAATAATTATTATGTGATTTGTAGTTGTACTAAAGCCTTCTATTCTATTAGGATATTTGTACTTCTATTTTAGAGAAATTATTATAAATTGAACTTAACTCTTTATAATAAATAATTTTAGTTGCCACTTTGCTTTAAAGTCATCTATCTTTTCAGGCTGTTAGATACAAAGTACATGTCGAGTCTGCCTCCATTCAAGGATAAAGTAAACTCAAGTGTTCTGCCACATTTACTCCACACACTATCGCAACCACCCTTTGCATTGCCAACAGCTGGTAAATATTTTTTTCTTAACCGAGTTCAGAAAAGAAGGTTATTATTCGGTCTTTTTTATTATATGTGTGTATATTTAGGTATATGTTCTATCAGAGACGCTATAAACTAAATGGGTTGATTAGACACATTTTAATTTTTCGTTTTAAATTGTTTTTACTTATTAATTAGAATATTTATTCTTCAAAATAATTATTAAGAATAATAATTTTTAAGAATTTCACACAGATAATTAATTGCTGTTTGAAATAATATTATATTTAATAATTTTCTAGTATTTAGACCATAGTGTATAATATGTGGTTCTATTGGTGATCCAAAATGCACTAATATGTATGTAATTTTCTTACACTATTTGACTGCGGTCACCGCTGCCCATTTCACATGTTACGATTACGTTTTTCATGTAAAAAGAACACCGTGGGAACGCTCTTATATTACACGGAGAAAATCTTTGAGGTGATCAACTAGAAAGTACATATATGGGGCATTTCATATGAAGCGGACAGGAGAAAAAAGTGAGGTTAGGAAATTTATTCATATGCGGGTTATTTTTATACCTCTAGTAGGTATGAAAGTGGATACGTTAATATTTTTTTTCTACGATGTTTATTTTTAAAGTTATGGACCTTTGAAAAATAATCATAATCCAAATGTCGATGTTTTAGATTTAGTTTTTCGAATGGGGAAAAAATACAAACAACTATTAAACTTGGCATTTTGTATAGGTTTTTAGTTGCTCTTTTTAAACAAGAAATATTTTTTTGGAATTTAAAAAAGAAATATGTACACAACCGGAAGTGAAAATTTCAAAACATTTTTTTGATCACATCAACCATTTTTTTTAAATTTTTTTAAACCCAAATATAGCCTATAGTATTATTAAAAAACACTAAAAGTTTCATAGTGGAGACTCTATTACTTAGAAAGATGGGTAAATTAATGTACGTGCATGTCGCTTTGAGCGTGATGCTTCATAAATTTATGTCAGTTACTTGGCGAAATTTGAAGTGTAATCACATGTATCATTGTATTCAAGCGAGTTTAAGCTCTGAAAACTTAGGGTTTATTATTTGCTAATTTTTACAAGCTTGTATTACTAGTCAATGCCTGGTCCAACGTTCCTTAAACATAGCTAACTTTGATCTTAAAGGTCAAAGCTTTCGATTAAAATAAACCGCACTCGGATGCACGTATTTGAGCAATACGAAGCCATACTACAGACAGACATACCACACATACACACAAGAAACCTATAACACCACTCTTTTTTTGTCGTGGGTTAAACTGATGTATAATTAAACTGAAAATTCAGTTATGAAAATTAACGTGATACCAAATTCAAAACATTTTATTTTATATTTTTTACTATCTTACAATTAGAACTACATTCATACTTACTAGAGGTATAAATAACCCGCATATGAACAAATTTCCTAACCTCACTTTTTTTTTCCTGTCCGCTTCATATGAAATGCCCCTTAAGTTGTTTAAATTAAGCCATATTTAGTAGTGCACTGTATGTGTATGTTTGATTGTGACTTTAAAATTATCAAACTGATGGCGGATTTAAAGAATATTTTTAAATTACTACTGACTTAACCTCGATTCGCTACGGTGCGTCCTTTTGTTTTTATAATATTATATTTAGGTCATTGCCTTTGGGCAAATTTTATTATTAACAGTAGCCTACACTATAGTACTATTAGCGTGTAAGAGTAACAAATACACATATGTACATACTAGGGTGGCTGAAAAACACACACAACATGAATGTTAATGACTTTTTTTTTTCTTGAATAGAAATAAGGATAGAGACATGCAAAAAAAATCTAATACAATTTTCACTATTAAACTTTTGAACATGAACATTATTCATTCTACTTCATGTTCAGAAGTCGCTCGAAAAGGTTTAGGGTACTCAAATTGGAAATTTAGAAAAAATCTTGAGCGATCTTCAAATATTAAAATATCGACTTAAAAATTTCTGAATCCTAGTCATTTTTATAGTAGAAATTAGTGAAATAACGAGAAATAATAAAAAAAGGATTTTCAACGATTTTGGAAATTATATGTACATATGTACATACATACAAACTGTGGCATTTACAAAATGTACGCTCTAATATCTTATTGTACAGTGTCGCAGCCCGGCCGCGGCTACTCGTGCTCGGAGGCGAAGGCGCACGAGGCGGGCTACGACGCGTACGTGACGGGGCTCTGCTTCCTGGCGATGCACGCGCACTTGTCGCGCATGCGCGGGGAGCCCCCGCAGCGCGTCGCGCCCGGAGACTCCGCCCTGCTGAAGCCCTTCATCAACAAGCTGTTCCTGGCTAAGACTGCCCATCAGGACTCGCCGTACATCAATTTGACTGGGGATGATCGTATGTATATGTGCATATAATGAGATTATCCTCGCGGTATAAATAAATAAAATAGGTATATAAATAAATATGTGAGTTGAGACATATATAACATACAGCACCATCTAGTTCCATGGTAAGCTACGAGGCTTGTGTTATGGATACCAAATAGTTGATACACTACATATATATATAATATTAAAGACATACATATTATAAATATGAACACCCATGACTGGAGTACAAACATTCGTGTTCATTACATAAATGAATGCCCCAGCGGGACTCGAACTCGCGACAAATGGCACAGCAAGTGCGATAACTACAAACTGAGCCAAACATATCATTAAAGAAGTAGCATGCCACTTTCAAACCCTATAACTATCTCCACACAAAAATCACGTCAATCCGTCAGTTTCGTTACGTGAGAGTAAAACAAACAAATATACACACTTTCATACGTATATACAGCACTAGGGGCACTCGGGGCTAGTGCCCAGGACGGCAAATTTTGAGGGGCGGAAAAATTCGGAGGGAGAGGTTTTTTTTTATTTTTATTGAAATAATACTTTCTTAGATATACGCGAATGTTTGACATTTTTAAATAAAACTATCTTTTCGGATTATTTCGTGGATTTATTTTGATTTTTGGTTCTCGACGTTTCGAATGCTTTAAAAATGAAAATTTTTAAAAATGAAAATGAAAATAAAAAATGAAATCATTTGTAAAAGTATTATATAGTAATAGTGTTGCTTAGTAAGTTGTTTTTAAATAATAGCAAACTAAATTAAATTTATTATCCTTAATTAATTTTAACTTTTTAAATTACACATAGAACAATTATATGGCTTAAATAATTAATACTATATTTTATATTTTTCTTTATGGTTATAAATATAATAATGGCAACACTAAATATAGATTACTAATTAATATTTTTAAAATTGTAATAATTATAAAAATAATAGCAAAAATTAAGTAAATAATATTCCATATTCAATTATAATTAAAATTATAAAAATGTTTAAAGTTAAAAAATATTGTAATGTAATTGGTGCAATTTTCAGTTTGTTAATTGTGGGTAGGCTGTCTGTAACAACTTTACCTTTAAGACATGTAACACCTCAGTCTCTCCCGTGACCATGGATGCTGTAAAGTCGGGAACCAAAATCAAAATAAATCCGCGAAATAATCCAAAAAGATAGTTTTATTTTATTAAAATGTTATCGAAAATGCTTTTTATATTTTCCTAAAAATGAGTAATTTAAAAAAAATACGAAACGAGTAGTACAGTTTTCTAAAAATTGAAAATATTTATATGAGTAAATCAATTTTTTGCATTTTTCATTAATACATAGCACTTGCAAAATATACATTTTTTATTTTTGTTTATTTATTTAAATAGTCTACTCTGTTGGATAATGATGTGCTATCCTTTTGTACCTGACTAGAAAGAACATTTATATGTATACGAATACTTTAAGCACTACACACAGTGTCATCCAAGCTGACTTTAGTTGGACAATTGTAAAATCCATTGTTTAGGGTTCCGTACCCGAAAGGTGCTAACGGGACTCTATTACTAAGCCTCTGCTGTTTTTTCGTCTGTCTGTCAGCGGGCTGTATCTCATGATAATAAGTAGAGTTTATATATTCACAGAGTGTATTCATATTGCCGCTATAACAATAAATAATAAAAAACCAAGATGGCGAAATTCAAAATGGCCGTCATACAAATTAAAAAAAAATCATAGTCAACAGTTATATCTTGTATGAACCATCGTACGGAACCCTTTGTGTGCGAGTCCGACTCGCGCTTGTGCGATTTTACAATGTTAACTTTTAATATTGTAATATTGTGTGTGCTTTCAGCGTCGCCGTCCAGAGACCACGTGTTTCATCTAACATTCCCAAAGGAATGGCGGTGGAATGATATCAATCAACTTTTTAGTGCTTTTGGTAAGATACTTCTAAATTATTTTTTGTTTGTTTAAGTGTCCTTAATTTTTCCTTACATTATATTTATAAAATAAGTTTGCAAAAATAACGAAATGGAAGTAGTTGGTAATGCCGTAAAATGGAAACACACATGAAAATATCAGAGGTGCGAGACTGAACCTGCTTTACTTTTTCTTCCAAGCAAGCACTGGGCTGTCACGGTTTTTTTTTATATATATACTTAATACTTATATAAAAACAAAATATCACTCACTGATTGATCGTGATCACCGTAAACTCATAAAGAGAGAGATCAGGATGCGCTTTTTGGAAATTCAATCCCTAAAGAGCTAAAAAAGTTTTTAAATAGGTGTTTTTGAAGCTACAAGCATTACGTTAAAAATGAAAGTTTTAGAAATTCTATTTTTTTATTGGTTGTATAACGGCTAACGCGGACAGGCAGATGGGCGGCGTTAGTATTATATAAAATTATAATATATATTTTATTTTTAGGCCAAATCACGGTCCAATTCCTGGACGACACGTCAGCACTGGTCGCGTTGTCGCGCAAGGACCTCGCCAAGTCAGTGACGCGCGCCTTTGCGAATAACAGCCGGATATCCCTCGTGCCCTACGTCAAGTATAAGATGTGTGCTGCCAAGGTAAAACCAACTACATCATTATATAAATAAAGCTTAAAATAAATACATATTGATATTGTATTATAAGGCAGTGGGAGCCCAGCATATTTAGCATTTTTCTATACAGATAATTATTTAAGCACTTATTTGACTTCTAACTTCGACTTCAGGTGAACGGATTTGTCTGAAACTACGTTCCTCCTCATGTACCTTGCTTCGCTCGGGTTAGTTCCTAGATACTTTTTAACGGTACATTTTACAAATCCATCGCTCTTGTTTCGACGTAAAAGAAGGACAAGCAAACACACTTTTACATTTAAAATATTAAAGTATGGATTTAGTACACAGTTATGATGTTCTCCTAGCCGATTCTGGCTACGGCGGCCAATCTCATTGAGACTAGCCAACTGCGCAGGAGATATTATAGTGCACACTTAGTGTACTCCGGTGGGACGAGCACTCGACACGACTTGTGAGAGTGTCGCCGCAGGACCGACGGCTTTACGTGCTCTGCCTCGGCACGGGGGTGAAACACCACCAACTTCCCAACTCCGGGCTGTTACTGAGACTTACTATACAGAAAGACTCAATAACTTAACTTGGCCCGACCCGGGACTCGAACCCAGGACCTCCGAGTGTGCAGCCGTACATGCTAGCCACTACACCACCGAGGCAGTTGTTATACAGTATCTATGACCTGGAGTAGCATACTGTGTGGTACCCGAGCGAAGCAAGCGTAAGTCGCTAGCATGCTATCTATAAAATAAAAATATAATTCCGATTTTCTTGTCCACAGCCATCCAATCAGTACCAATTGGAGCGTCGAGAGGACTTGTCAGAGAGATACACAAAAATGTACGTAATACTTGTTACTGTCGTGTTCGCTGTGTTCATGCATTACTTTATGCAGTAACATAATATTATTAGATTAAAACATCCAGTCATGATGTTTTCGGTGGTTTCAAATAAGCTGAACTAAGATGGCGGTTGCTTCTCTTTAGTTTTTGAAATTTGAGATATTACAAATGTTGTTATTGGTTTTATAAGGCATGACATTTTTATGTGCTTGATATTCCATGATGGCGGTTCGTACAAAATACAATAATTTTTTGAAGTCATACTTCTTTTGGCACGTTTGGAAAAAATATGAGGGTAAAATTCACGACAGCCAAAAAGCGACATGATAAAGTTAGCTGCATTCCTTTTACAAACAGAGAGTTGTGACATACGGGATGAAATCTTTAGCTATTTTTATTCTGATACGCTAAAGAAGTATAACTTCTTGCGCGCGTACATAAGTAATATATATATATAATATATATATATATATATATATATATATATATATATATATAGTACACATATATACGTCTTTTTTTAAATATAACAGGGATGCATGGAGAAACTTATCTGATATTGAAGAATGGTTTCCTATAGATAAATATGTCACGCTTAATCATATATGTAATTAAAATAATATATAGTCATAAAATCAACACCATCTTACGTCAACTTACGTGGCGCGCCGTCTATGAAGCGATATGAATGTTTTAATAAAAACTAAAAACTATACAACACAAGTTAACTAATATTTTTTCATTTCATCAGTATTCTGAAGCAGTCATTATTAACAAAATTCTACTCGAATATCATTAATTTTTTAACTTTTATATAATTTGATGTTTAGAATGTTTTTTGAAGCATTTTTGTGATAATTTGTGTTATGATAAAGAGTAGGAGGACATAGTTTTATAGTAAAGTGTTATTACGTTTCATTAAAGTTCATACGGATTAGTAGTATATTTCTAAACTGCTATTAATCTATACAGATAAATAAAATTGAAGTGTCTATTTGTAATGTCAAAATAATAGTTTTTTACTAAGTGAATATAAAATTATATATGATGGTCATAAAAAAACACATTTTTAAAATTTTCGTCTGTCTGTTTGCTTGTCTGTGTTGTTGTGATTTTGTTATAAGGAGTAACTTGGCTACTTTTTTTTTTGAAAAATAATTAGGGTTCCGTGCAAAAAAAAACGTACCTAGGGACGCACCCAAGCGAAGGCTGGGTGAGTCGTTAGTTGACATATAAACAGATGTCGGAACTGAACTCAAAGTTTATATTAGATAATATGTGAAAATCTTAAAAGTATTAATAAAGATTTTTTCTAAAATCTACTTAGAACCATGTTTGCTTATATCGAATATTATAAGTTATGTTAAATATACAAAAGTGTTGAATTTTAATTGGTTGGTGGTTAATAAAATTTTTTTTTTGTTTGTGGAAATAAAAGAGGCATATTTATTTATTTATTATTTATTATACATATCATTCGACATTTTTAAGAAATATCAGTTCAGATATTACATTTTTTTTGGGATTTTTAGTCTGTTGTTACATTGGTGAAAATCGTTTGTATGTTATATGTATAAATAATTATGTATTTATAAAATAATAGTTATTTAAGTTAAAAAATATACGAAATTCAAGTAATTCACAAAGTTATAAGCACAAAAATCTTATATCTATATTTTAGAATCCGTCTAGTATAGAAATAAAACGTGTACTTTTGGTGATGCACTAATATCGCGTTTAATACCTAATACACATTTGGTCTTGTACTATGAAAGAAAAACATCTCAAACACATATATTTGTTTGGAATAAAAGATACTTTCAATTCAATTCAATTCTCTTGTTATTGGCTCCAAAGCGTGCCAGTTGAGCTCAGATTACTTAGCCAATGTCACGTAGAATGGTGAAGACACGTAGACACATCATATATACTTAATAAATATAATGCAATACATAACTCTTAATAAAAAAGAAAATGAGGTGATATGGTTCTTCTACTATATCTCAGAAGAAATTACTCTATACTCTTTTATCTATATTAATATTATAAAAAGGTAAAGTTTGTGAGTATGTGAATTTGTGACGTTGTAGGGGGTAATCCCTGGATCTACTGAACCGATTTAGATGAAATTTGATAAGAAGATGGTTTAAGGCCCTGAAAAGGACATAGATACTTTTTATCCCGGAAGTCTTCCCTTATAGGAGTGAAAATGGGGATGAAAGTTTGTATTGGGAAGTAAGCTAGGGACGAACCCGAGCGAAGCGAGGGTGAATCGCTAGTATATAAAGAAAACAGTATAATGGTGGAATGTATCTTTTTTAATAAAAAAATCAATATTTTAATATAAAACAGCTCTATTTAAAGCAATTAGTGCGTCACCACATTGTTATGATCCAGTCTTATTGAGCATTTTATCCTTTAAAGTTGGTCATATTATTAGTACTTTTTGTCGCTCTATCGTATGTCTAATTGTCTAAGTTAAACGTGCTTAAGTAAAAAAATACTGTTTTTGTACTTTTATAGTTTTTTATACTTTTACAAAGTTGTGAATATAAATGAGTTACTTTTATTTACTTTTTAATATCTGAAAGCATTTAAATGTGAAACTGAGTATTCAGAAAATTAAGTAAGTACAATCTACATTCTAATTGATGTTATTTCTAAGATTTTTCCTATTAGAACTTTTTAGCTTTTGATGTTTTGGAATTGATGAATGTTTGTTTTTCTTAATATTTCATTTATTTTAAGGTCTTTGTTGCACGGCTTTGGATGTTAGTTATAACGTTGTAATTTGCGCTTGGACCGAATATGATCAAATATCTAATATTTGAAAAATACTAAGTATAAAGCAATAAAAAGAGCTAAATATTTTTAAGAAAGTCATGTTCGGGACAAGTGTTTGAGTGCTGTGTGACTCTAACTGGGATCCTTATGTTTTATTAAGCTTTTTATACCTTTGTTAACATTTTAAACATGTTTTATAAATACACTTCTAAGTAATATAAATTTAAAAAATGTTATAGTTTTATTTTATTTATCTCAAAGGAACTTCTGTTGGAGTCATATTGACGAATTTCCAACCAGCAAAAAATAACATTTTAAATTGTTATATAATCAAATTATCTTCTTCTTCCTGCCCATTTCCCAAGTCACTTGGGGTCGGCTTATATAATCAAATTATAATATACCTTATTCAATTAGACTTTTATAAGCACTTTTGAATTGCCAAATTTTACAATTTTTAAATTAAACTTAAATGTTAGGATGTAGGTTCTAGGCACGTAAGAGGAAGCTATCACCGGCTCGAAGGGCAGTTCCCCTGACACGAGCTATCGAGAAACTGAACGTTTCAATAATCTATAAATCTCATATTACAGAAGTCCTTTCCAGTCCTTTCTTATTAAAAAAAAACGATTACTGCCTACCTACCTACCTACCTACCTACCTACCTACCTACCTACCTACCTACCTACCTACCTACCTACCTACCTACCTACCTACCTACCTACCTACCTACCTACCTATTATCAAAAATGTTGAATAATATACTTTCCCAAAATAGCTTAAGTATATGCCGAAACAAATGCATAATTACGGAGGGAAATAATTTATACAGTATTGGGTTTGTTTCTTGAGCTTTCTACTCGAAGCTATTGTAGCTCGGCTTAACGGATCGTGAGAGGATATCCGTAGGGTGGCCACGTTTTTAATCATCTAGGATTGATATTTTCCTCTTAACATTTTATATCCGTTATATTATAATATATCGTCACCATGTTACAAAGACGATTGTTATAAGACATTGGTGCTTGTCTGATCGACATTAGTACAGTTGATATGGTAGGTTCGGTACGGAGTATTAGCAGTGTGAAAGAGTGCGAAAATAATATTTTTTTTGTCAATAAATCTCATAAGTTAAGTTATTTATGTTTTTGTCCAAATATCACCCCAAAATATTACTTTAGTGGTTTCTTACATTGCAATAAATAATGCATTGTGCTTATAAGATAATATTGTATAGAAAAGAAAATAGTTATCAGAACCTGTCTTCATAAACTGCAATATGTATGTCGATTCATTTCATTCGATATATACAAATATGTAAAGACGCACTTAGTGACTTTTGTCAGAAGCAAAGAAATCTGCAAGTACCGTATTTAAATCTCGTACTTGTGTGTTATTTTAAACACTAGCGTCCTTAGATTCCCTTCGCATTTATAATATCACGAAAACCTCTAGAACGATCATTTTTTGTTCGATTTAATTCAAAAATATTAGCCTATTGCCTCGTTACATAATCCCCTCTACCTATTAGTAAAAACCGTAAGAAAATTACTTAAAAGAAGCAGTAGTGTCTGAGATTAGTCTAAACAAACAAACGCGTGGCGGTGGGCTACTATATTATAATTTATAATATGCGATTTTAAATAACAACAGAAACAATATTCGTGCTAGAATTTCATTCCAATTTAGGCGTGTCCATTATAGGAACAATTCTCGATGAGTGTGGTCACTATGTCTGGACAATGGCGCGTGGTGCGCGACCCTACGACCTCGCGTGCGCGCTTCCGCCATCTTGCATTTTAATGCGCGCACAACATTTGCATAGACCGACACGTGCGATGATATTCCATTCTCATTTACTTTGTGCCTGAATCGAATTGTTTGCGAAATCGCTATCTTGTCTCTATTGCGTATTTAAGTAGTTTAATGTGTTGTTTAGTTTAGAAAGCATTTTAACGTATGCTCTTATTGTACTAATGACGTTTTAAATGAGAAATCAGTTTAGAAATTTGTTTTTAATGAAATCGTTTTTTTTTTAAATTGAGGTTTTTGTGCGTATTTGGATTTGTGGTGTGGTACATTTTAGTAGGACAGATTGGTTAAATCTATCACAAAGGAGAAAGAAGTAGATAAATGAAACAAACTAAAATACAGATTTCCTAAGCAAGATACGATAGATGAGTTTCAACTTTTAAGTGTCACTTAACTCTAGGC